TCCTAACATTCCACTCCTCATGCATATTACGCTAAAGTGTGTTTAAAACATTGGCACTCCAGATTAGGACATCCACATAAATGGCTTCTTAATCTCTTTTTTAAATAAAAATAATAATTTGGCTACTTCTTCTAGTATTTTAAAAACTTGTCTATCCTGTCCTCCTAGAAAGGCAAGCAGATTATCCTTGGCTTCTTCTATTAATATTAGGATTGAGTTTTTAAATCTTATTTTTGGTGATGTATAAAAACCACCATCAATCGCAATCGTTGATGGTCATAAATATTACATTATCTTTATTGATCATTATTCTAAGTATATTTGATTTTACCCTTTGCATAAAAAATCGAAGTATTTGAAGTTTTTCTTTAATTTCAAAATTTTGTTGAGAGATAATTTAATTGTAAAATAAAACAAGTGTAAATAATTTGAGGGTGAATTTTGCCGCTTTAATTCATTTTTCAAAACGATTAGCATTGCTCATCGTACAATGTGCCTCTATACATAGGAACAAAACGAACCGTTAACCGACGTCACCATCATATTGTGAAAACTAGTTTGATCTTTTTAGGTAAATTCGGTGTTACTCGTAGTTATCGGCATTTTACTTTTGAAACATTTAATTTTTTAATCAATAAGTTGCAATCTCCTATTATTAAGAATAAGTCTCCATTCGAAGTTGTTTTTAAAAATACCTAGGTTATGCTTTTAAAAAAATATTTGATTGTTTCTGCTTCTTCTTTAAGACCTTATAATAAAAATAAAACGGGTTTTAGGTCTCGCTCCTTGTGTTTTTTTAGGTATAGTCCTTCTCACTTAGAATATCGTTGTTTAGATCCTAAAATAATAGGCTTTATATTGCTCGTCATTTCGTTTTATGGAAGCAAAATTTTCTTTTTCCAAAATTCTCAATTCGGATTTTCAAGCAAACCAAACATCACAATCAACCCTTTTGCTTATTTTTCCTATCACCATTAATTTTAATTTTCCACATTTAAATTAAAATCACTTGGTTTACAATCAACGACAAACAAACCTTCATTCTAGCTTAACCCATCCTTTGTCTAGTTCACCGGTAATGATCCACGGCCCATCCAGTTCTTCGTCCTTGATCCGTAGCCCATCAAACCCCTTCGACTCTCTAGGCTTAATCACTACCTATTTGTCCGGATCACCTCACGGCCCATAAAGCTCTTCCAGCCTATCGGGTTTAATCTATAGCCCACAAAACTCATCAGCTCACCCAACTTGATCCACGACTCACAAAGCCTACTATTAACTACAAAAATCTAGGCTTTTTTCCTAAACCTCACATTCATGATTGCTCCTCGAACTCTTCACAGTCCCTCTCACATCAAACTAATAAAAGGTCAAACGTGGGGCTCGATTTTAATGACTTTGAATTAGCCATAAAATAAGTTGGTACTCATCATCCCACCATAAAGGCAACCCTATCCTATCACATGTTTCTAAGACATGTGACCAAGCATTTTCAACCACGAGGCTTTAATAGCAATCACCAATACACCTCCAGAATCACTTCTTGTTATTTTGAAGCTAGTAAACACTTAGCTTGAAGATCAACTATGATTCGTTAAGGTTACTATCTTTCTTAAAATTGGTACGTGGTCTTTAGTGTCTTCTTCCTCTTTTGTGAACATTGTTGGCGGTAAATGGATTTTCAAAAGAAAAAGGAAAACAAACGGCAACCTTGAGAGATACAAAGTTAGGTTAGTGGCTAAAGGGTTTCACCAATAGAAGGGGTAAATTATGGAGAAAATTTTAGCCTCATCGATAAGCTCGATCTCCATTCAATGTGTGCTCACTTTGGCAATAAATAATGGTCGGCAACTCGAGCGATTAGATGTGTATAATGATTTCCTTAATGGAATTCTAACAAGGGATGTCTATATGCCTCAGCTCATTGGCTTTGTTGATTATAGATTTTCTAACTATCTTTGCAAACTCCACATAAATGGATTGAAACAATCACCAATGACTTAGTTCTCCTTGTCTTTAGGAATTTTTAGTCAATTTTGGATTTATGGCTTTAAAAATAGATTATTCATTATTTATTTATACTACCCGGGGTTCAAGGTCTTCCTGTTTATATATGTGGATGACATCCTTCTTACGGGTAATAATGATCAATTCATCGTATCTATGGTCAATGCCCTAAACTCACGAGTTTGTAATCAAGGATCTCGCAGAACCGAGTTTTTTCTTGATATTGATGTGACTAAGACTTTGAGGGGTGTGTTATTATCTTTAAAAAAATACATTACTAACATTCTTGTAAATTATGAAATGTTATTATGTCATCCAATATCCATTCTCATGCCAACAACTTCTAAATTAACAAATGAATCAAGAGATTGTTTTTCAATGCCACACTCTATCGCGAGATCATAAGCACTTTGCAATATGTCACCCTTGCTCGATCCGATATTACTATGTGGTTAACAATGTTTGTCAATTCATGCATAATCCAAAGATGGACCATTGGATTGTTGTGAATAGAATCCTACGATATCTAACTACACAAGTGGTTATTGTTTGCATATCCGTAAGTCCAATCCTATCTTCTTTGGTTTTTAAGATTCTGATCGGATAGGATCTCTCAATGACAAAAAGTTCATTGGGGGTTATGTAGTTTATCTTGGTACCAACCTTGTTTCTTGAAAATCATCTAAACAAAAGACTATGGCCGAAGCTTAACAAAGGCTAAATACAAGGCGATGGATGATTTAGCTCGCTGAATTATCTTGGGTTATTTCTCTGCTAAAGGAACTTGGTTTCGTCTACAAGCTCCTCCCATTATTTGGTGTGATAATATAGATGCTATCTATCTAGCCGTAAACTCTTTATTTCATGCTCAAAGCTTATTAAAATCGATTTTCATTTTGTCAAATCTATGGTTATAAAGGACGACCTCTTGGAAAAATTTATTTTTAGTCAAGATTAATTAGTCGACATTCTTACCAAACCACTATTTACCATAAGGTTTCAATTTCTTAAAGACAAACTAACCGTTGGCAAGAATACCGCAGTTAATTTGTAGGGAGTATTAGGCTCATGTAGCAATAAGAACTCCAACGATGATAAGTCCAAGCAACAACAAGAACTTTTTCACAACGCACCTACAACAATCCGATAAAGACAAGGGATGAATTATTCACCTCGATACTTACTCTTTGTATATATCTATCATAGTTGTTAACTTTTCAAAAATATCCTTGTAACTATTAACTATATAAATAATGTCTTTGAGCCAAGAAAAAAATATATAGAAACATTACGTTCTTTGTCTCTCTAAAACTCAATTGAGATTATTTCTTAATTTTATATATTACTCATTTATTGTTTATTTATTCGATACAAGATAGATTTTCTAACACTCCTTAACATACACTTCATCTTTTGAAATTTGTCAAGTAATTTAGATTTTAGAATTTTTATCGAACCATTGGCAGCTAATTTTTTTTTTTTTTTAACTCCTATCGGTAATGAATCATGAGAACAATGATTAGAAAAGACTTAAACAAATTTTTTTAAAAAATGAGATTAAATTAATAAACTGTTAAAGCTAGGAAGGGATGACAAAAACAAATACATGCCTCAAGAGTATACTGGGGGCAATATATTCAAAGGTAAGTTGGCATGTGAAGTAAAATGAAAAAATGAACAAGGGTGAAAAATCAAGATTCATGTATGAAGTATAACCAATGCTAATTGATTCTGTCTTAATTAATTAATATGGAACTATGCATCCCAATTGTAGTGGCATTCATGATTAAAAAAAGAGAAAAAAAATGTAGCGGGATTCATGTATGTGCGAAAAAAGTTGAAAGTAAAATAATTATTTGATTAAATAAAGAGCAAACTATATATATATATATATATATATATATATATTATATATCCTTCGTCAATTGATCTGGTTTCAATTTGGTCCTCATTTCTTCAATATTAAAAATCTTAACCTATCAAATTTGCTCCAATCTCTTCACTTCGTGATCAGTCATGTTGTTAATTAAGTTTGCTTAATAATTTATAACTAACATGCAAATTAAAGAATGTGTTCTAGCTAATATAATAATTTATTCTTTCGTATCATTCTCGTCCATTGTAAAATTATAAACAAAATCCCCATTATCCATCTCTTTTGTAGCTTTCCACACCTCAAGAACTAGTGTTTTCTTAAAATAAGGTAGTTTAATTTCTGTTTCAAAATATGATAGTTTTAATTTTATTTCTCTTAATATAATATTTTATGTTACACATACTTCTTGTACATATCATTAAAATATATTATTTAAAAAATGGGAGAAAGAAGACATAAGCTTTTATAATCTCTCTTTCGTATTTCTGTTCTTTCTATATTTGCATTCTCTTTCTTTAATTAATTTTTTTTACAGCATTCTTCAGAAAAAAAAAAAAAATCTATTTTACATCAAGCTAAATATTTTCTCTTTCATGGAAATTCCTTGATGCAATGTAACCTAATGAGCAAGAAGCTTGTACAAAAATTCCATTAAAAAAAAAGTTCCTTTAAGTCTTTCCTAATCGTCGTTCTCATGGTCAATTGCTGATAGGAGTCTTTTTTTTTTCAAAAAAAAAAAAAAAAAAATCAAGGCAAGATCCATGGAACATGTTGAAGGCAATAACTAATCGAATGGTTGTCCAATTGGTCATTGCTAAACCGTGTGGAAAATATTCACAATCCTTTTCAGAAAAAGTTTTCTAAATCTCAAAAGTAGTCAGAAAAACCATAAATTACTTCGTACATGAACAGCAGCTCCAGAAATTAATTACCACCTTCCCTTCTCTCTATATATGCACAACGCAACACAACACATGGACCAAGCTCTGAAAATTATTATTCCTCCACAGTTTGGAAATTCTTTTCTTCTATTCTCTCTTTCTGTGTATACTTATTTCTTTCAGCTTTCCAAGGAAAGAAGGCAGTGGAATCGATAAAAACTGATTAAAAAAAAACAATGCAGGTAACATCTATCTTTTGGCAGTAGAATTATATAGATTAGTCAATGATCATGTTGTTTTCTCTTTTCTGTTTCTGAAAATTTTTCTTTGCTGGGTTTGTGCAGCAAAAAATAGTGCTCAAGGTACAGATGAATTGCGAGAGATGTAGGACTAAGGCGCTCACGGTGGCGGCAGAAGCAGATGGTAAGTTTAATTTGAAGCTTAATCACAAAAATAAACTTTATTTATTATTTTATTATTTTTGCTTTCTTGATCGATCTGAAGCATACACACATGTATAGGTCGACTTAGATTAAAGATTAAAAAGTTGAATTTGAAGTGACATTGATTACTGTGGCAGGGGTGAATTTTCTGGGGCTAGAAGGAGAGAAGAAAGAAAAGGTGGTGGTGATTGGAGATGGAGTTGATGTTGCCAAGTTAGCCAGCTGCTTAAGGAAGAAAGTTGGGCACACTGACATCATCAGTGTTGCGCTAGTGAATAAAAAATAGACAAAGGCTCGCTGGCTTGGTTCAGGAGTGGTAGGGTTAGTTGCGGTCGATGTAAAAGCTCGAATAATGTAAAAATTTAGATTAATGGTTAGAATATTCTAAAATCTCTGGAATCATGTTGGAATGTGACGTAAAAGTTACGATAGTAATAAGATTTGTTAGTTCGTAATATTTATTTGTTAGAAGAGTAGTTTTTTTTATGTAGTTAACTAATGAGAAATTTTATAATATTTAAAAAATAATTACTCGTACATGTAAAATAATAGTTATTTCATGGTTTTATTTTTTAAAAAAAAGATAGACACAAAAAGGAGATTAATAGAAGAGAGAAATGTTTTTAAAAAATGAGTCCACGTGAGATCATATCTCGTATCCATTAAAAGGGATAAAAAAATTGATTCAATGAAATAATTATTGTACATACAATCATTACTTTTTGAGTATTATAAAATTTCTCGAGTTAATTATGTTGTAGCTTTTACAAAATTCAATAATATTTCTTTTCAACCTCTATTAATAAAAAATTTCCAATGTTAAGTTATAGTTTTTTTTTAAAAAAAAAATTAATATTCCTCATCATTACTAATAAAAAATCGATTATTCAAAAAATTGAAAATACTCGTTTAGTGAAAACACAACATCTAAGACTTTGAAGTTAATATGAGCAAAACTTACACAAAAAGACATAATAATGTAACGATGGTATATCCAATTAACCAAAAAAATCGATTCTTAAAGAATCAAATGAAATGTAAGATACATAAGTTTATAATCCCTAAGAATCTGTAGCTAAGCTTGGATAATATTAGCATTGAATGCGTCCTTATCGATTGTATTGCGTTTTCCTTTTCCATTGAAGATTTTGGAAGAAATAATTACTCAGTTATGGGTCATTGTCCATTGTTGGGAAATATACACAACACATAAATGAGCCAGTATCTCAGAAATAGATGACGTGGCGGTGACCCATTGACCCTTGCGATACTTCCACTAGCCAGCCAGGTTGTGTCGTTACACGTCAAGGACGCGGAATTCTCCACTGCCACAACGAACAAGCTTCTTCACGAAGAAACTCTTTTTTTCTTTTTTGTTTCTCCATAAACAAACTACTACTAGCTATCAATTCATACTATAAATCAAATCAAATTAAACAAAATTAGAAAGTTCTTAACGTGTCCTCATCGCGTTTAAGATGAATTTGGACATTAATTTACATTTAATTATTAGTACTATAATTGTTAATTATCAATTACATACAATAATTAATCAATATAACATTTACTATATATATATATACACACACACAATCTGATCTGGTACAATATGTCAATTTTTCAATTTATCATTAAAAAAGAAAAACACTTCTAATCTATTTTTATATTTTAAGCTGATTTTTAATATATTATTCTTATCAAAATTTTTGATCAATTTTCAATAATTGACGTTCATATCAATCGATATAGATCATTTGTGTTAAATAATAAAAAATAATTTTATCAAATAACATATCATGTAAAAATTACATGTTTAATTCGACTGAAAATTTTATCAAAATATAACTAATTATAAAAATATATGGAAGCTTTTTTTTTAACAAAGTCAGATTGAATATCTTATTTTATAAATACAAGTCACCATATATACTATAGATATGACGCGTTCCATGCATGAAGAACGCTCCAAGCACATGGACATGCATGACCAAGCAAGCAAGACAATTTCCTTTGCATTTCCACCCTCTCATTCCACCGCTTATATATACGAGTCTACAATGTATGAAAATGGAGAAACAGCCAGTCAAGAAATTAAACACCTTCCTACATATCTCTCTCTCTCTTTCTAACTGAGGGACCTAGCTAGCTACCTTGAATTTTCTTGTTTCTACACTACTCTTGAAAATTTTTAGGATTCCTTCAACAGTAAGCTAGCTAGAGTTGGAGGTCTGATCTCTCCATATAAATTTCTGCACTTCTTGAATCAAAACTGATCAAATTAAAGACAATGAAGGTATTATTGCTTACTTACATATCTTTTGGCAGTTTGATGTTCAATTTAAGTCAAATTGCACAGAACAAATTAACTATATATACCATGTCTTTTCCTTCCTTCCTTTTTTAATTTTCTTGTTGGGTTGTGCATGCAGCAAAAAATAGTGCTCAAGGTACAGATGCATTGCGAGAAATGCAGAAGTAAGGCACTCACGGTTGCGGCAGATGCCGATGGTGAGTGTTGAAGCTTAACAAACCTTTTTCTTTCTTTTGCTTTCTCTGGGCCGGAAACATGTATTAATGCATATATATATAAGATGTCAATTATTGATTACTATGGCATGCAGGTGTGAGTTTTATGGGATTAGAAGGAGAGGATAAAGACAAAGTGGTGGTGATTGGAGATGGAGTTGACTCTGCCGCCTTAGCCAGCAGGTTGAGGAGGAAGGTTGGACATACTGACATTATCAGTATCGCACTGGTGGATTAAAATTAGAAGATGCCACATTCTGTTCTTATTTGTTTGTGGCTTAGATTTCTTGAGAGAAGATTGCTAATCTCTGGTTTACAAGATCATGTGTGTGGTGTTAATTAGGTTACTTGTGATTGCAATAATTAGATTTTCCTCGAGCAATTGACTTTACCTTATGTTAATTACTATATAAATGATATTTCATTTATATAGAATATTATAAATTAAATTTTTTCAATTTTAACTCTATAGTTTATCAAAAAAATTAGAATAATATCTAAAAATATTGGTTTAAATAGAAAAGACTTTAATCGTTTAAGTAAGCGAGTCTCATATTGAAATCCTCATATACGTAAAAAATTATTTAGATAATTTTATCCGTCTAATACATTCGACGGAATAATGAAAGATTAATTTAAACTTTTAAACTTGAGATACTTGAGGATATAAAAAAAAATTCAAATATTCCCTCACCATTAATTATAAATAATGTTGGAGTTAACGGAATGCCTATTTCTTATATATTTGTCCTCAACTAGTGGTTTTAAATCATTAATCCTTGTACATGTGCTAATATAATTATGTAAAAAACTCAAAAAGTAATTTATAATGTGAACTTGCCATTAGTTTGTTAATTAATTACAGAATTGACTTCGTGACCACGTTCAATTTTTTATTTTCTTTCAAAAATTATAGAGTTGACGTGGAAAAATTATAAATAATAGGGTAGAAGTAGAAATTGACCAAGTCTAAAAGGCTAAAACGTTGTATAACTTATTGAATTCTAATCCCACCTTTTGTCTTTATAAATCTCTAGAAATGATTAACATGCAAATTCTTGACTTTAAGAATTTGGTTGTTCACCTAACGAGGTACGTAGACTAACATAGCACAAGCAATGTTCAAAACATCAATTTAGTCCTTAAATTTTATAAGGATGCTATTGAGTTTTTAATTATAGAAATGACCTTACCTGTTGTGTTATAGTCGGTAAAAATATTTGTCAATATGAAAAGATTTAATAGCACGACACAGTTGAGCATGCAAATAAATTATATACATAATAAAATAGTCCATGTGAAAGCGTGATAATAAAATTAAATAGATGAATACTTCTAATATGCTCTTTAGGCCCCTCCTTTTTTTTTTTTATTTACAAATAGTGAGCGTCTTCAGGTTAGTTTTTATATCAATCGAGACTGATTTTATTATTTTTTAAACTAAACGAGAATCGGAATATTTTTAGGTTTTGATCGATCGTTAAACTCTTAAACCAAATCACTCCAAACTTAATACTATTAAAAAATAATTATAATTAGTTATCGCTAAGTAATGAGAATTGAGCTTTTATCTTTAATTAGGCACTTATTAGCAATACCCTGCAACTAATTATAATCTTCATCGATGCACATATGTAGCATGAAAAAGTAGAAGATGTCACTCTCTCACTTTTTCTTATGAAAGCATCTCTCATCTTTAATTACTTTGAAAATAACCAAGTACCTACTTAGCATCTATAATATACTATTCTAATAAAATGAAGGGAACCACCACAAAAATTTTCCATGCCTTACCTTCCATCCATCCCCATCTTGAAACTACTTAGGTTTAAAATTTTCCATGTAAATACATTTTAAAATCAGTTTTGATGTTAATTGAGATTAAGTTTTTCTTCCAATGATTTTAATAGTATATCTTTAACATCAACCTGGTATATTTATAAAAGTTTTAATTTTCGTTCTTATCTTAAATGTTGGGTTGGTAATAGTAGTTTACCCTATTTTATAATATTATTATGGGGTCCTAAAGGGCAAATGTTCCTGGGCTTCAACTAATAGTTTAGCCCATTTATTATTAGTATGATGGGGTCCTGAAGCACAAGGAGTTCTTGGGCTTCAACTAACGCTGTAAATTAATATTGCTGAAATTGTAAATTTTTGATATATTCTATTTGTTTTGTGAAAAGAATGTTATTGAATTCTTCACATAAATTGAAAAAATATATTAAATATTATATCAACTTATACATTTTTTTTATTTTATTTACTCTATTGATTTTAAAATTAAATGTAATTAAAAAAGTGAATTTAATTTTTTAAATAAAAATAATAGATTTTGATATTCTATATATTCTTTAACTTTTTCACAACACACTATATTTGGAGACATGTAAATGGAAAAAAAGAAAGAAAGAACTCTTTATATAAAAATGGAATGGAAGAGTGATGATAGCCACCATAAAAGATAACAAGTTTCCAGGAAATCGACACACCCATGCTTTTTAGGTTAAAAAAGTATAACCATTTCTAAACATCAAGTCCCTGATCTTTTTTATTGATTTAAAAAATTGTTTAACTTTTAATTTTTTTTCAATTTAATCAATTCCATGATTTTCAGTTATCATCTAATCTCCTTTTAAAAAAAAAATTCAATTCTTGGTATTTTCAATTGCAATTTTCCATACACGTTGATAAAAATTTAATCCATTTCGTAGAAAAATTTTAATTTTTTAAAAAGAAACATATATTTCTTTATTTTTTGAATATTAAAAATATAAAAAAACGAAAACATATATAGAAAATGATTTCGAAATGATCTCAATTTTTTTAAAAAAACCTGCATAAATCTGACTAAATAATGTCAATTATGAAACTATTTATGTGATTATTATTTTTTTGAAATAAATGATAGAAAAATAAAAGATGGGCTAAATATGAAAAAAAATTAAAATGTTAAAAATCTTTAAAATATAAAAAAATTCAAGATAAAAAAAAATGATTTAAAATTAAAGAATGTGTTGTAGCCAATATAATAATTTATTCGTTCTTATCATTCTCGTCCATTGTAAAATCATAAACAAAATCTCCATCCATCTCTTTTGTACCTTTGCACGCTTCAAGAAGTTCGAGTATTTTTTTTAAAATATAGTTTATTTTATTTATCAAAATATGATATAGTTTTAATTTCATTTATCGTAATAGAATATTTTATATTACACATACTTCATCATTTGTACATATCATTAAAATATATTATTTTAAAATTTTTTTATTTAAAAAACTAAATAATGAATTGGGAGGGAGAAGGTATAAGATTTTATAATCTCTCTTTCATATTTTTTGCCCTTTCTATTTTTTTTTCTCTTTCTTCAATTAATTTTTTTAACAGCTTTCTTAAAAAAATATATATTTCACATCAAGCTAAATATTTTCTCTTTCGTGGAAATTCCTTCATACCATGGACCCTTATGAACAAGAAGCTGTACAAAAATTCCATTAAAAAAACAAAAAGTTTGTCTAAGTCTTCCCAAATCATTGTTCTCATGGTCAATTGCTGATAGGAGTTTTTTTTAAAAAAAAAATCAAGGCAAGATCCATGGAAGACGTTGAAGGAAATAATTAATCAAACGGTTGTCCAATTGGTCATTATCGTGTGGAAAATATTCACAACCCTCTTAAGAAAAAGTTTTCTACGTCTCAAAAAGTAGTCAGAAAAACCATAAATTTCTTCATTATAGTATATGCATGTGTCCATGAATAGGTGATGTAATTCTGGCGACGTGATGTTGATCCTTGTTAGGATACTTCTAGCAGCAGCCAGAAGGTTGTGCGTTCACACGTCTAGGACACGACGATAAATGCACTTGAACAAACAACCTTAATTCTCTACCAACCAAAAAAAAAAAAAAATACTTATAATATAATAATTATCAATTAGATAATATTAATTTTGCCATATATTATATATGTTCCATGCATTAAGAATTCATAAATACCAACGACTTGTTGGATCAACGATAATCGAATTGATTTTCATGTCAAATTTATACCGACGTATAAAAATATAATTTTTGAATCATAAATATTAAAAAAGATTAAATTTTTTTTTTAACATGATTTATCCTATTTCAGATGTGAGATATAAATATCTAAAAAAAAAAATACCTAAAGAATGCATAAGGCACATGGGCAGGTGTGAATTTAATGCTTAAGGTAAGCAATGACTTTCCGAGACATTTCCATTTTTCTAATTCTAACTAGTATATTTTACTAAGATGCTGTTTAAAAATCAAAAATAGAATGGTATGAATGAGAATAAAAGTTTTATTCTCACGTTGCAAGTGTTTGATTAGAATAAATAAAATGAGAATGAAAATAAAAATTTACACATAATTTTATTTACATATAAGATGTAAAAATAAAAATAAAAAATGAGAATAATTTTTTTTCAAAATAATAATATATTTTATTTTTTTATTATTTACTAATTATTTTTACCACCACCACTATCACCATCACAACAACCATCATAAGCATCACCATTGCAACCACGACCATTATCACTACCATCGTCATTTTTATTATTTTTATAATCATTATAATTTGATGAAATTATTATTTTTATTTGTATAAAAAAATAGATATTAAAAAATTTAAATTACATTTTGATTCTTCATTATTATTCCTAACACAGTATGCTCTTTTGATCCCTTAATTTTTATTTCGATTCTACATTTCTATTTCGAATTAATTGTTTAGAAAATGAACAGCGAGTGTAGAAATTAATCACCACCTTCCCTTCTCTCCACATATACACAACACAACACATGGACCAAGCTTTGAAAATTATTATTCTTCCACAGTTCGAAAATTCTTTCCTTCTATTCTCTCTCTACATAAATACTTATTTCTTTCCGATTTCCAAGGAAAGAAGGCAGGCGGTACATTGGTCGATAATTTTTAAACTCTTTCAATCAAAACTGATAAAAAACAATGCAGGTAACATCTATCTTTTGGCAGTAGAATTGATATATATTAATCAATGATCATGTTATTTTCTCTTTTCTGTTTTTGAAAATTTTTCTTTGCTGGGTTTGTGCAGCAAAAAATAGTGCTTAAGGCACGCCCAGATGAATTGCAAGAGATGTAGGAAGAAAGCACTCATGGTTATGGCAGAAGCAGCTGGTAAGTTTAATTTGAAGCTTAATCTCAAAAATAAACTCTCTTGTTTTTTCTTCTGCTTTCTTGATCGATCTGAAGCATTCACACACACACGCATAGGTTGACTTAAATTAAAAATTAAAACGTTGAATTTGATGATGTGATATTGATTACTGTGGCAGGGGTGAATTTTCTGGGGCTAGAAGGAGACAAGGAAGAAAAAGTGGTGGTGATTGGAGATGGAGTTGACGTTGCCAAGTTAGCCCGTAGCTTAAGGAAGAAAGTTGGGCACACTGACGTCATCAGTGTTGCACTAGTGAATAAAAATTAGACAAGGCCACTAATTCCAACCTTAATCAGAGTAGCTGCCTTTCTTTTAAAAACTTATGGCTGCATGACGTCGGACGGGACCTTCTCAAAAGAAAATTAATTGTTTGTACGTTAATTAATTATAAAATTATTTATAGAGTTTTGGAGTCCTTATCTATTATTTCGGGAATTAGGAACCTAAAAATAGCACTCGGTTCAAAGATTCCTAAGGTAAATAGTTGATTACGCTTTTAGGAAAATCTTTAATCACCCAAAAACGCCTTTTTCAAAAAAAGGTACCATGCACGGTTTAGTCATAAATTATCTCCCAAAAATCCATGTCAAGATATTTTCTAATTTTTAAACTCCTATTTTTTTAGACTAAATAAATTTTTTTAGTTTTGAGCGTGACATCATATTGAAACGATCGTCGGTCCCCTTCGTTGAGCGACACGTCGATTCAAACATCGGATCCACTAAAAACCTCGACACAACCAACTTGTCGGAGGACATCTTGATTAAAAGGTGATGTTTTTTTTTCGTATGGCATCGGTCCCTATCAAATAGGAGACTTCGCTATTTTTTTTTTTTTTTGCGACGTCGGTCCCTATCGGATAGGAGACTTCGTCAAATTTTATATATATATAATTTTCTAGCAATACATATTAAAAAAAACTGAAATAAAAGTTCTAAATTAATAAAGAAAAACTACAAGAAGTAAAGTAAATAGGCTAAAAATAAAATACAAATAAAATACAAAATAATAAAACAAAAATCATCCTATGTAAGCGGTAAAAAAATAACCGAAGATAAAAGTAAATAAAAAAATTCTATACCTAAAATATTAACCTACCACTTTTACTCTTTTTTCTTTTTTTTATCCCTTTTTTTCTTATTTTTTTCTTTTTACCTATTTTTTTAATTCCCTAATTCTATTTTTGTTTTATTTTATTTTTGTTGTTTTTTTGTTTTTTGGAAGGTGGGCTACGGGCCGGGCCTCCTCTTCTTTTTTTTTTGGGAGAAAGGGTTCAGCCCAGCTCCCTTTTTTTTTTTTTTTTTGGCATCGGGCTTCGACCTAGCCCCTCTTTTTTTTTTTCTTTCGCGGGTCGGGCCGGACCTCAAGCCCGAAACAAACTCGCTTGCCCCTCTTTTTTACTTTTTAGATCAAAATCAAAATTTTCCAAAGTTTTAAACTTTCTCTCTCATGTTCTTCATGTTCTTCATTTTCTCTCCCTAATACCCGGTTTTTGCTAGAAAATCACCTTCGATTAACTTAATCGATCAAGCAAACCAACACATCTAATCATGAGAAAATTAAAAATATGCAAATAAAAAAAAACGAACAAATAAAAATCAACGTAAAGGAATCGGACCCTAAGCTAACTTGGATTTATTGAAGAACAACCTAGATTTATTGAAGAACAACCGGAAAAACTCGAACGCAGAACCCCAAAGCTGCCGATTTCTCACGATTTTAAACCTTTGTTGTGGATTCCTCGATCACTAAACCCCAAACCTATGATATTTTCCCCTAAAACAGACCTAAAACACTCTTCGATCGTCCCTAGGAACGATGAAACCAACCCGAGCAAGTGAGGAGCCAAACCCGAAAAATAAGAACATGAAGAACGAAACCTGAAACCCCAAAAATTACGGTGATCAAAAACTAATAATTAACCCTTTTGCTTTTGATTTTCGAAACCTCTTTACCTGAATTGTTTGCCCAATCTTTTTCTCTTTCGTGAAATTCAAACATTTTATAGCCAACAAATTTCCTAAAATTGAAACAAAATCCCCGAATTTTCCGACAAAAAAATTTTCCTCTTTAATTCATGATTAATTGTGAAATCAAAATACGAAATTCTCATTGATTCTCGTTAGCGTTGGGTTTTGGCAACAAAATCCGTGATTAATACACAATCAAAAACAAGAAATTCATGGAGGATTTGGGCGATTCTCCCAAAGATTTTCGGAGAGAATCCGCCTTGGAGCGAACGATAGGTCGTTTGCTCCATTTTCGATCCTCGTCGTTCGCTCCAAACTTCCAGCTTGGTCCTCGCGTTTCAATTTTAGTAATTACACCCCTCTCGCGAACTAATTTTAGTACAATCTCAATAATTAGGTCCTTGGAGGTGCAATTTAAGGCCTAAACTTTTTAATTGACTCAATTACACCCCTAATTACTTCAATGGTATCCCTATATGAATTTTTTTGTTTTTTCATCATTTTCTTTCTTTCTTTTTTCTTTTTCCTTAATAAACTTCAAACTAAAAACAAAAAAATAAAATAATAAATAAATGAAAAAATAAAGTAAAATAAAATAAAAAATACAAAATACAAAATAAAAAAAAATTTTGGGTTATTACAAAAGTAATGGATTTGTTCTCATTTGATATAAAAATTAGTCAAAAAAAAATGCTTCATTGTTTATATATAAAAAAAATTAGTCTGCTAGAATATTCTAAAATCTTTGTTTTATGGGATCATATGGGGATTATTTCTTGATTTTATGCATTACTCATTTATTGTTTATTTATTTAATGTGAGATAGCTTTTCTAACACTCTTCTCAACATACATTTTATCTTTTGAGATTTGTAAAATAATTTGGATTTTAGAATTTTCACTGAACGGTTTGTTAGAGAATAATATAAATTATATCCTAAAGTTTTATCTAACAACTTAATCTTTTGGGTGAGATAATTATTTATATGTTGTCGAGTCGTTTACGGTTAATTTTTTTTAAAAAAATTTGGATCATGAGAACAATGATTATGGAAGACTTAAACAAACCTTTTTTTTTTTTTAATGGGATTAAATTAATAAACTGTTAAAGCTGGGAAGGGATGACAAAAACAAATACATGCCTCAGAGTACAATGGGGGCAATATATTCAAAGCTAAGCTGGCATGTGAAGTAAAATGAACAAGGGTGACAAATCAAGACTCATGTATGATGTATAACCAATGCTAATTAATTCTGTCTTAATTAATTAATATGGAACTATATATATATATATATATATATATATCCTTCATCAATTGATTTGGTTTCAATTTGGTCCTCGTTTCTTCAATATTGATAACCGTAACATATCAAATTTGGTCCAATCTCTTCACTTCATGATCAGTCATGTTGTTAATTAAGTTTGCTTAATAATTGACAACTAGCATGCAAATTATTTTTTATAATCTCTCTTTCTTATTTTTTTGTTCTTTCTGTATTTGTAATCTCTTTCTTTAATTATTTTTTTTATAACATTCTTCCAAAAAAAAAAAATCTATTTTACATCAAGCTAAATATTTTTCTCTTTCATGGAAATTCCTTGATGTAATGTACCCTAATGAGCAAGAAGCTTGTACAAAAATTCCATTAAAAAACAAAACGTTTGTTTGCTTCCCTAACCATCATTCTCATGGTCAATTGCTGATAGGAGTTTGTTTTTTTTTTAAAAAAAAAAAAAATCAAGGCAAGATCCATGGAAGATGTTGAAGGAAATAACTAATCCAATTGTGGAAAAAATTCACAATTATTTTCAGAAAAAAGTTTTCTAAATCTCAAAAGTAGTCAGCACAACCATAAATTACTTCGTAGATGATGTAATTCTAGTGACGTAATGATGATCCTTGTTAGGATACTTCTAGCATCAGCCAGAAGGATTTGCTCTTACACGTCTAGGACACGACAATATATGCACTTCAACAAACAACCTTAACCAAACAAAATAAAAAATCAATACTTATAATAGTGATAATTATCAATTAGATAATATTAATTTTGCTATATATTATATATGCTTCAAGCATTACGAATTCATAAATACCAACAAGTTATTTGCTAAATAATAAATGAATTGATTTTTAAATAAATTTTTTATTAATATAGAGAAATCGAATCCTAAAATTAAGTTATTAGAAGATATTAAATTTTATAGTTTTTTTTTAATCCTATGTTTCAAATAATAATAAAAAAAAAACTAAAGAATTCATCAAGCACATGGGCATGCATGGTGTAAATATTTAATGTTTAAGGTAAACCTTGACTTTCCGTGACATTTCCATCTCTTCTAATTCTAGCTCTTACATTTTACTAATTGTTTAGAAAATGGACAGCAACTCCAGAAGTTAATCACCACCTTCCCTTCTCTCTGTATATACACAACACAACACATGGACCAAGCTTTGAAAATTATTATTCCTCCACAGTTTGGAAATTCTTTTCTTCTATTCTGTCTCTCTCTAAATATATATTTATTTCTTTCAGCTTTCCAAGGAAAGAAGGCAGTAGAATTGATAAAAACTGATAACAAACAATGCAGGTAATATCTATCTCTAAATATATAGTTATTTTTTTCTTTGTTGGGTTGGTGCAGCAAAAAGAGTGCTCAAGGTAACGATGAATTGCGAGAGAAGTAGGACTAAGGCACTCGTGGTTGTGGCAGAAGCAGATTGTAAGTTTAATTTGAAGCTTAATCACAAAAATAAACTCTTTTTTTTATTCTTTTGCTTTCTCGATCGATCTGAAGCATTCACACACACATGCATAGTTTGACTTAAATTAAAAATTAAAACGTTGAATTTGATGATGTGATTTGATTACTGTGGCAGAGGTGAATTTTCTGGGGGCTAGTAGGAGAGAAGAAAGAAAAAATGGTGGTGATTGGAGATGGGTTTGACGTTGCCAAGTTAGCCGGAAGCTTAAGGAAGAAAGTTGGGCACCCTTGACATTATCAGTGTTGCACTAGTGAATAAAAATTAGACAAGGCCACTAATTCCAACCTTAATTAGAGTAGGTGGCTTTCTTTTAAAAAAAAAAAAAAACCCGATAAATTTAATCTCAATTGATGTAAAAATTAATATAAAAATATCTCATTATTTGTAAAAAGAAAATATTAGCTATCATAATATTCTAAAATCTCTGTTTTATGGGATCATATTGGAATCTCATGTAAAGAGTTTTGGCAGTAATAAGATTTGTTAGTTTGTAGTATTTATTTGTTAGAAGAATAGTTTTTTTTTTTTTTTTTTGAGTGAACTATCTTTTAGCCCTTATAAATTCGATAATATTTCATTTCAACCTCTATAGATTAAAAATTGTCAGTGTCAAGTTATATTTTTTTAAAAAATTTAATATTCCTCATGGAGAGGTATTACTAATAAATAATGGGTTATTAAAAAAATTAAAAATACTCAATTTAATGAAAACACAAGCTCTAATGCTTTAAAGTTAATATAAACAATACTTATATATAAACATATTTAACCTAATGGTTGTGTATTTAGTTAACAAAAAAAAATTAATTGTTATCGAATCACATGAAATGCAAGATGCATAGGTTGTTAATGCCTATAAATCAAATTAAATTAAGCAAAATTGGAAAGTTCTTATTGATTTTATTGGGTCATTGTCCATTTTTTTGGAAATATATACAACACATATATGATAATATGAGACAATATTTCAAAAAAATAGATGACGTGATGGTGACCCATTGATCCTTACGATACTTCCACTAGCCAGCCAGGCTGTGTCCATACACGTTAAGGACGCGGCATTCTCTACTGCTACTTAAACGAACAAGCTTCTTCACGAATAAACTAACTACTACTAGCTGTCAATTCATATTGTAAATCAAATCAAATCAAGCAAACGTGTCCTCAACATGTTTAAGAAGATTTAATTTGGACATTAATTTACATTTAATTATTTGTAATATAATTATTAATTATCAATTACATATAATGATTAATCAATATATATATATATATATATATATCATCACCTATGATTATATAATAAATCAATTTTTTAATCTGTCCTCAAAAATAAAAAAATACTTTTAATCTTATCCATGTATTTTGAGATGATTTCTAATATGTTATTTTGGTCTAAATTTTTAGTTAATTTTTAAAAATTGATCTTCATATTAGTACATATAAATAACTTATGTCAAATAATAAAAATAATTTTATTAAATCACATATCATGAACAAATTATATGTTTAATTTGATTAAAAATTTTGTCAAATTATAACTAATTATAAAGGCATATCGAGTACGTTTTTTTTAATAAGTATAGATTGAAAGTCTAGCTTATTTTATTAACACAAATCACCGTATATGCTATAGATATGTGGCGTTCCATGCATTAAGAACGCTCCAAGCACATGGACATGCATGACCAAGCAAGCAAGACAATTTCCTTTACATTCCACCTCTTATATATACGAGTTTGCAATGTATGAAAATGGAGAAACACCCACTCAAGAAATTAAACACCTTCCAACATCTCTCTCTCTCTCTCTCTCTCTCTCTGACTGAGAGACCTAGCTAGCTACCTTGAATTTTCTTGTTTCTACACTACTTTTGAAAATTTTTAGGATTCCTTCAACAGTAAGCTAGCTAGAGTTGGAGGTCTGATCTCTCCATATAAATTTCTGAACTTTTTGAATCAAAACTGATCAAATTAAAGACAATGAAGGTATTATTGCTTACTTACATATCTTTTGGCAGTTTGATGTTCAATTTAAGTCAAATTGCGCAGAACAAATGAACTATATATACCATGTCTTTTCCTTCCTTCCTTTTTTAAATTTTCTTGTTGGGTTGTGCATGCAGCAAAAAATAGTGCTCAAGGTACAGATGCATTGCGAGAAATGCAGGGCTAAGGCACTCACGGTTGCGGCAGATGCCGATGGTAAGTGTTGAAGCTTAACAAATCCTTTTTATTTCTTTTGCTTTCTCTGGGCCGGAAACATGCACTAATGCATATATATATATATATAAGATGTCAAATATTAATTACTGTGTATGGCATGCAGGTGTGAGTTTTATGGGATTAGAAGGAGAGGATAAAGACAAAGTGGTGGTGATTGGAGATGGAGTTGACTCTGCCACGTTAGCCAGCAGGTTGAGGAGGAAGGTTGGACATACTGACATTATCAGTATCGCACTGGTGGATTAAAATTAGAAGAGGCCACATTCTATTCTTATTTGTTTGTGGCTTAGATTTCTTGAGAGAAGATTGTTAATCTCTGGTTTACAAGATCATGTGTGTGGTGTTAATTAGGTTACTTGTGATTGTAATAATTAGATTTTCCTCGAGCAGTTGATTTTTTTTTTCCCCGTTTTCACCATATGTTAATTACTATATAAATGATATTCCATTTATATAGAATTTTATAGATTAAATTTTTTCAATGCTAACTCTATAATTTATCAAAAAGTTCCAATATTATCCAAGAAAGTTGGCTTGAACGGAAAGTAGTTTCAGCATTCGAATCCCTATATATGTCAAATCTTTTTTTTAAATAGTTATGTCTATCTTATGTGTCCGACAAAATAACGAATGACTAATCTAAATTTTTAGACTTAGAATACGTTGGGGATAAAAAAAAAAAAAGGGTTCAAATATTCTCCTAGTCACTAACTATAAGTAATATTGGAGCTACTGGAATATTGCCTATTTCTTATATATTTTTCCTCAACTAATGGTTTTAAATCATTAATCCTTGTACATATGATAATATAATTATATAAAAAACTCAAAAAGTAATTTATAATGTGAACTTGTCATTGGTTTATTAATTAATTAGAGAATTGACTTCGTGATCACGTTCAATTTTTTTCAAAAATTATAGAGTTGACATTGAAAAATTATAAATAATATAGGTAGAAGTAGAAGTTGACTAAGTCTAAAAGGCAAAAACGTAATTTAACTTATTGAATTCTAATCCCACCTTATGTCTTTATAAATCTCTAGAAATGATTAACATGGAAATTCTTGACTTTAAGAATTTGGTTGACCAAACGAGGTAGACTAACACGTACAGCTATATCAGGAATGTTTTCATAGCACAAGCAATGTTCAAAACATCAATTTAGTCCTTAAATTTTATAAGAATGCTATTGAGTTTTTAATTATAGAAATGACGTTACCTGTTGTGTTATAGTCGGTAAAAATATTTGTCAATATGAAAAGATTTAACAGCACGATATAGTTGAGCATGCAAATAAATTATATACATAAGAAAATAATTTATGTGAAAACGTAATAATAAAATTAAAATAGATGAATACTTCTAACATACTCTTTAGGCACTTATTTATTTATTTATAGATAGTGAGATATGTTAGATATCTTTATATTAGTTTTTGTATTAATGAAAACTAAATTCATTATTTTCTAAAATAAACCACTGTCGCAACACGTTTAAGTTTTGATCGATTATTAAACTCTTAAACTAAATCAATACAAATCTAATATTATTGAAAAATAATTATGATTAGTTATCGTTGAATAATAAGAATTGAACTTTGATCTTTAATTTGGCACTTATTAGCAATGCCCTGCAAGTAATTATAATCTTTATCAATGCACATATATAGCATGAATAGCATGAAAAAGTATAAGATGTTTACCAAATTTTTTTTTTCCATACCTTGCCTTCAATCCATCCCCATCTTGAAACTACTTCGAGTAGTGCCATGTTAATGCATGTTTTAAGAAAAACTTCAGTTTAAAAAATATTTTTATTTCTGTTGGACAATAAATATATTTTTTTAAATTAATTTTTACGTCAATCGAGATTAATTTTTTCTTCCAATGATTTCAATAGTCTATCTTTAACATCAACCTGTTATATTAAAAACAAATTAGTGAAAATCTCTGAAAATCGTTTTCTAAATCCAAACAAAAATGAGTATTTGGGTACCTGCATTTATAAAAGTTTTAATTTTCGTTCTTGTCTTAATTGTTGGGTTGGTAATAGTAGTTTAGCCCATTTTATAATATTATTATGGGGTTCTAAGGCCCAAGATCTCATGGGCTTCAACTAATAGTTGAGCCCATTTATACTGACCCTTTTTTTTGTGTTTATTTTAATTGTTGGGTTGCTAATAGTTTAGCCCATTTATTATTAGTAGGATGGGGCCCTGAAGCACAAGGAGTTCTTGGATTTTATTGAATGTAATTAATATTGCTGAAATTGTAAATTTTTGATATATTCTATTTGTTGTGTAAAAAGAATTTTATTGAATTTTTCACATAAATTGAAAGAATATATTAAATATTATATCAACTTATAATTTTTTTTTATTGTATTTACTCTATTGATCTTTAAAATTAAATGCAATTAGAGAAAAAAAAGTGAATTTAATTTTTTAAATAAAAATAATCAATTTTGATATTCAATATATTTTGAGACATGTAAATATAAAAGAAAGAGCTCTTTAGATAAAAATGGAATGGAATAGTGAAGGCAGCCTCCATATATGGAAGGTGACAAGTTTGCACATGGAGAATCAGAATCTTTTCAGGAAATCGACACATCCATACTTTTTAGGCTCAAAAAGTTTAACCATTCCTAAACATTAAGTCCCTGATCTTTTTATTGATTTAAAAAATTCTTTAACTTTTAATTTTTTTTCATATTTAGTCCATTAAATTAATTTCTACCATCATTTGATCTACTCTAAAAAAATTCAATTCTTGGTATTTTGAATTGAAATTTTGCATACACGTTGTAAAAAATTCAATCCATTTTGAAGAAAAATTCTAGTTTTTTTTTCAAAATTAAAAAGTATATTGTTTATTTTTTACGCATTAAAAATATAGAAAATGATCCCAAAATGATCTCAATTTTTTTTAAAAAAACCTCTATAAATCTCCCTAAATGATGTCAATTATGAAATTATTTACCTAGTTGTTATTTTTTGAAATATGAGTGAAAAAAAGAGTTTAAAAATCCTTAAAATCAATAAAAAATAAAAAATTGAATTTAAAATAATTGAGAATTTACGAGTGGTTAAACCATTTTAGCATATTTTTTATTTTTATTTTTGGACATGGACGATTTGCCCACCTAGGCCTAGTCATGTGCTGGTGCTCTCCTTCTTCAAGCTCTCTCTCTCTCTCTCTCTCTCTCTCTCTCTCTATATATATATATATATATATATATATATACACGCACAACCGACGAGTGAGGATGAGCCTTCGGTACTCCTATATATATATATATATATATATATAGATGTTGTTTTCTCTAATTTGTGTTTAAGATTTAACAGTCTCTCTGATCGTTAGTGAGCCTAAGGTTTAGGTGTTTGCATTTTTTTCTCCTTGTTGGAGATCACAAAGTACAAGAGATCAAAGAGCATGAAGGTATCTATCCATCTCAATAAAACACTACCACTCTCTTCTTTCATACATTATTCGAACACCATTACTTTCATTCTTGCTTTGTTAATCTTTTCTTTTAATGGTTAATTGGCAGCAAGTGATCGTGTTCAAGGTTCAGATGAATTGTGGGAAAAGCAGGGTCAAGGCTCGCACCGTTGTGGCAAAAGCATTTGGTATATATTCTTGAATTTCCACACCACCCTTTTCTTTTTTCTACTGTTTCTGCTAAAAAAGTTTCTCTCTCAAAATTTTCTGCAACAGTTATTAATGTTTAGAGCAAATTATAAATTAGTACTAAGCTTCTGATCAAATTTTGATTTGCAGGAGTGAACTCTTTAGCATTACAAGGAGATGACAGAATTGTGGTGAGTGGAGATGATATTGATGCAGCCTCCCTGACCTTCTGCTTGAGGAAGAAAGTTGGCCATACTGATATTATCAGCATCATGCCCATAGATCCGTAGAAACATGTCCATACTACCAGGAAATGGCCATGTCTATCTTACCACCACCTTATCGATCTATCATTTATATTCTCTGATGAACCTTTAAAATGTTGATAAAGAAAACAGTAGCAGTCTTTTCAACCATATATGTAGCTCTCTTCTTCTAATCAAAGAAACGAAAATGGTAGCTTTATGTACAAAATTACTTTCATTTCCTGAGTGTATGGGATCGAACATGTTCTCACTGTGAGCGGTGTTTTACTTTTACATTACGTAATCCTGATTAGTGAAGGATTAGTTAATTAATCAATGTTGGGTTTTTAGTCAAAAACTCTCTAGGTGCCTAAACTTTTCTTGCGTGTCTGAATGATTAATTTAAATCTTTAATTTGGATCTTTTAAGGCTGTATCCGTCTTATGTGTATGATAGAACGAGGGTGATTAGTCTAAATTTCTACGTCTAGAATACTTGGAGGATCCAAAGAAAAAAAGGCCTACCATCACCACTTTCCACAGGCTACCAAACGTGTCGCCAAGAAGGGTTTCGAAGCCACCACAAGCCTCCACGTTTTGTGCCATCCAACCCTCCACGTGGGCTAAACTAACGTTTAAATTCAGCTTCGCTTCCACGCTCTTCCACCAAACCACCACGGTCACCACCACTGCACAAACAATGGCCCTTGCGTCACCAGAAGCCACCAATCTAAACATTGCAAAAACTCTGGGAAAATCCTTATCATCATGCTCCGCCAACATCCAAAAATTGCCTCACTTAACAGACTATCTTCCAAACCTTAAACCACTACCAAACCCTTTGGAGAAAAACCCTTTATATCACCCACCAGCGGGCTTTTACATTAATCAGTCTGAAGTGGTCCTACGCCACATCGTCTTAGACCCGTCTGCCGACAGTGAAGCCTTGAGTTCCCCCACACCCCAACTGGCATACACCAGGGCTGGTCCACGCAGGCAAATCTTTTTTGAGCCAAAAGATATCAAAGCTGCTATTGTTACATGTGGGGGACTGTGCCCTGGCATGAATACAGTGATCAGGGAGCTTGTTGTTGGATTGTGGGAATTGTATGAGGTGCGCCAGATTTATGGGGTCACAGCAGGTTACAGAGGGTTTTATTCTAGGGACCCTATTGAGCTTAATCCAAAGCTTGTGCATAATTGGCACAAAAAAGGTGGTACTGTGCTTGAGACCTCTAGAGGAGGTTTTGATCTTAAAAAAATTGTTGATGCCATTGAACATCACGGTTTTAATCAGGTTATTTCTCTCAATTTTGGCTTCATTTTATGTTTTCTTTGATAAAGTTTTAATTTTCAATGATGTGATCGGAATCAAGTTGGCTCCTTTTGGTATGCTTGGCAGCTTCCGAAATAGTATTACTTGATTCGGTTGGAAATCTTCTGAATTAGAAATTGGGGTATATAGGATGCATCACATGCTTTCTTTCCAGAAAAGAATTCATGGCTGAGTCAATGAATTCTATTGGTATAGTAGTTAGCTATCTTTTTCGAAAGCCTTACGAGTTTCCTGTGAGTTGGCAAAAAATACCTTGGCTTTGCCTTCTATGATAGCAAAGTCATTGCCTTTTTGTAGTTTCTAGGGAAAATGATTAGGACTTTTACCGTAAGTGAACTCGCGAGAGAACAATTGTTTGAGAAAGTCTTCAATTTTGAAGTTATGGGATCAAGAATGATCCTTGCAAAACATGGAGAAAGTTGCATTAAGTTTCTCTGAAATTGCAAATGGTTATTGAGTTTGATTGACACTTGACACCCAAGTTTTGATAAGAAGCTCTTGAACTTTCATAAATCGAAACACTAAAAATTTCAGCTCTCAATTGGTTTATGGCCATTGAATCAGTCATTTTCACCAAATCAATTCAACATTGTTTTATGCATGCTTCTCATTTAACGAGTCTTGACGAGATCAAAAGAGGGATATCCTTTGGTCATATAAGCAATGACCTAAAAAACTAATCACAAATTAGTGGATTGTCCTGTGAGTTGTCCTGAGAGATGGATCCTTTTCTCTGTTCTGCCTGTTGTAAAGCTGGTTTCTTGATTAGCAACTTGCATTATGACTTGATCATTAATTCATGTTTGTTATCATGTGCTTAAGAAATGATGCAAGTCAGGGTCTTTCCTTCTTCATTAGTCTACATGCTCATGGATAGGTGTATATAATTGGAGGAGATGGAACAATGCGTGGAGCGGTGAATATATTTGATGAAATTCGTCATCGGAAACTGAACATCGGAGTTGTGGGAATTCCCAAAACAGTCGACAATGATATAGGCATCATTGATAGATCATTTGGATTTCAGACAGCAGTAGAGATGGCCCAGCAAGCAATCAATGCAGCTCATATTGAGGCCGAGAGTGCAGTTAATGGTATTGGCCTGGTAAAATTAATGGGTCGAAGCACAGGTCACATAACCCTCCACGCCACATTGAGCAGCCGTGATGTGGATTGCTGTCTAATTCCTGAAACCTCATTTTACTTGGAAGGAAAAGGGGGATTGTTTGAATTTCTTGAGAAGCGGCTGAAAGAGAATGGGCATGCAGTCCTAGTTGTTGCCGAGGGAGCCGGACAGGATATGATACCAAGAACTGATGCCCAGAAAGAACAGAGGGATGAGTCCGGCAACCTAGTGTTCTTAGACGTCGGTGCATGGTTAAAGTCAGAGCTTAATAATTGGTGGACTAGAGACCACCCAAATGAGTTGTTCACAGTGAAGTACATAGATCCTACATACATGATCAGAGCAGTCCCTGCTAATGCTACAGATAACTTGTATTGTACCCTTGTGGCACACTCAGCAATTCACGGTGTTATGGCAGGATATACCGGATTCGTCTCCGGACCTATTAACGGCAACTATGCATATATCCCAGTGGAAGAGGTTGCTCAGGCTAGGAATGAAGTTGACGTACAGGACCATAAATGGGCATGGGTGAGATCTGTGACCAATCAGCCTGATTTTGTCAAGCCTTAAGCACTAAAGTTGGTGTAGTCTCTGGATCAATCACTCTGTATTCTGTTTGCTAATAAATTGTGAATGCTGAAAATTGATGGAAATAGATACTTATATATTTTCTGGAAGATTGGACCTGAAATGCTGAAATGATTATTGATTTTCTGCCCCCTCGATATCTTCTTTGCTTGTCTATGCATGCTTGTCTGGATTTAGTCAGTAAGTTGAATCAAGTTAACTTAAACCTACTTGCTGAAGTTTTTTCCACTGATTATTGATGCTTCCCTATCATCAAGTGTGAGATTTTACATGTCTATCTGTTTTTATGAATCTTCGCAAAACAGAAGTCATACTTGCAAGAAAAAAAGATCAAGTGCATCGAGTTGCCCATTGAAACTCGGTAGCATGTTTTTAAATCATGGATTTAAATCACAAATGATTGAAAAAACGATAAAATAGTGGTAATGGATTGTTTCCAAATCGTTACATATAACTATTGGTATTTCAAACTATATTTATTAGTCCATCAAGATCAAGGAAGGGAAAAACTATGCTCAATGCTCATCAGTCTATGAAGATGGGGAAAGGAAGAAAAATGAAAGGAATAATTTTGTTTTGTCACTCTTTTTATCAAGAAAGACCAGTAATTCTTTGCATAGCTCTCACACACATGGCTCCAAATTTCAGCCATCTCGGTGTAGGCTTGTAGCGACAAGAACATGAAATGCATAATTTACATTTCAGTCCCTTTTTTCATTTTTTTCTCAACTACACCCTTATTAAGCTTTCAATGTAGTCCCTGACCGGGAAATTGTTGCAAATGTTCTCAATTCACTTTTTAATTTCTAGGTGATGTTGAATAGACATAACTCAAACAAGATTTCATTTTAACTATTTTCTTCGTTGCAAATCATTTGGCTAAGGAATTTTAAATGTTGATTGCTTATCAAGTTTTTATTATGAGAATAGGTTTTGTTTCGTTAATCTTTTTTTTATGGTCCACTTTTGTTGGGACTTGCCAACCAAGTTGAGATAATGGTGTTGGTCTTTGTGTGCAAAAGCTATTTGCTAAAGTTATGGCAATGATTTTCCTCTACTTATTGACTTGATTCTTTTATAACATACAATCATGTTCTCTTTTCTCATTGATTGTGGGATTTTTGGGCCATACATGTCAATCTGCTTTTATGAATCTTTGCAAAACCGCAAAGTCATGTTGGTAGCCGAAGTGATCATCATGTGCAGTGACAAAGAGCTTACACAGAACTCGAAACAAGCCCTTATTAGTCTATATGGAAGTGCCCAGTTGAAACTCCTTCCATTCAAGAAGAGGCAAAGAAAGAAAAAGAAAGGATCCTAGAAAGAAAAAGAAAGGTCTCTTTGATTATGCTGCATGAGCAAATTGGAGATGATCTTTGCTTTGACAAATCTTTTATAAAGAAAGACACAAATTCTTGATTTGGTGCCCCAAAGATTGTGACTGCTTCAGAATCAAGAATCTCCCCTACGTGGCCAATAGCCTCCAGCAAACAATGCTTCTACTTTTCTAAGTTTCAAAAAGCTGAGAACTTTAGTGATGGGATAAAGGTTAGGTTAACTTATCAACTTTCACACAAAAACAACCTCCCCGAGGAGTAGAATCTTATAGCAGCAACCAGTTAGAATTTAATACCAGTAGTTTATCTCTTCATAGCTCTCACCCACATGGCTTTTCAACTTCAGCCATCTAGTTCATGTTCAATGGCCATAGAAACATGACAAGTGTACGTGTAGAACAAAGGTTGGGTTTTTAACCCTTTTGCCTGCTTGGAATTGTACGCACATGATGAAAGGGACAGGCAATTTTGAAACCAGGCATGAGCCAACCAATGACATGAGGTAGTCGACAAAATGGACACAAGCCCTGTTATTATCAGTATCCAAATCGGCAAGTTCCCAAATCCCACATTTGGGTGATTAAAACTTCAGTGATGGCCTAGTTGACAAGTGTAGCCATTCTCACGCGAAAGTCGGTTTATGATAATCTTAACTAATTTGGCTTTATTAGGCTCCAAGATCACAAATTTACCGATAGACTGCTGCTACAGAAGACAGATTCCTTGATCTAGATAAATTTGAACTTGCTTGTCGGTCTAAATGGAGGGTATTTGAGGCAATGAAGAAATTAAACGTAAAAAAGTAATTAACGAAGATATTCTCTGGCAGGTTCTTGCACTAATGAACTTTACTTTTTCCAACAGTCACTTGCTAAAACCCAACATTGCTTTGCTCTTACTACTATTTAAGATGTAGTTCTTTGTCAGTTGTCACTCTCTTCGACTCTCACCACCGAAAACGTTTCAAGCTTACCCGCTCTGTCCCATTTCCCCTCCCTCTCTGTCTCTTTCTCCCTCTTTATGAATGAATGAATGCAATTGAAGGGAACCCATAAAGCTCTCTTCTTTTTGCACAAGCACAAAATGGCAAGATTATCAAGAACTCTGCTTTATTTGATTTTAGCAGTAATATTGATAATAGGGTCATTTCCAGTGGGAGAATCAGCAATAGGAGTGAACTGGGGGTCAATTTCAGTTCACAGGTTGATGCCTTCGACAGTGGTGGATCTGTTGAAAGACAATAAGATAAAGAAAGTGAAGTTGTTTGATGCAGACCCAGATGCGCTTAAAGCTTTAATGGGGAGTGGGATTGAAGTCATGGTTGGGATTCCTAATGAGATGTTGGCTGCTCTTAGCTCTTCAACTGATGCTTCTGATTTGTGGGTTAGGCAGAATGTGTCTAGATATGTTGTTAAAGGTGGTGCTGATATCAGGTTCTTCTTTCTCCCTCTCCCTCTCTCTTTCCCTCTTTTAAGCACCCCTTTTTTTTTTCAGAATATTTTGGAAATGAATTTGTGTATCTGGGCTTTTATTTTGTTTAGATTTAGATTTGTTTTAGGTTTTGAGTGGATTAAGATTGATAACTGCATAGCAGTAAGGTAAAGTAATTCGTAAGGAAATTATTTGTCTGTTATTAAGTTGAGTTTGGTTCTTTGCTAAGTGTAGTTTTACTCTACTTCAAGGTGCATATGAGTTAAAAATAGTAAGGCACTAAGGTAGTTCTCTCAGCTTCCAAAAGGAGGGTCAGGGTTGCTACTTGCTGCAAGGCAAAGTTGGTACATCTTAACAATAGTGTATCCAGAGATACAATTGTCTGTGGAATTTATACATGGGAGATAGATCTTGGTTCTTAATTAGCATAAAAAAGAACTGAAGTTTGCAGGAAATGTGTTGTAAATGCTATCAAGTAATTCTGTAGAACCAAGGTTGATTTGGGATGGAAAAGTCGATTCCTAGTGAAGGCGACGCTGTTTTACCTGTTAATGAAAATCTTTGATGGTATGATATGTGTAAAACAACAACTACTAGAAGTGTGAAATGTAATTTGGTGCATCCTTGCGATTTTGAGGAATTTGCCTGTGAATAGAATTCTGTGATTTGTAAATTCTTAATAAGTTTGGTCATATAGGTTATGCCCCATTGTGCATGGTCTTATAAAGCACTTGGCCTTTTGATAAGTAATAAAATAATCATCACTAAAAATGCAGAATCTTCAGAAATTCCAACTTCATGTTTTTGTTTCATGAACTATGTCTTGATACCATTACCTCAGTTTGAACTTTCAATGGTCCTATGCAGTTGAGGTGTGTTGTAGGTTCTCAATAGTGAGTTGTCTTGTCTGTGAAACTATGGTTGCCATGCCAAATATCACTATATACTCTCTTATACCATACAATGACAGGTATGTTGCTGTAGGAAATGAGCCGTTCCTCACAAGTTACTCAGGTCAATTTCAATCTTTCGTTGTACCTGCACTGCTCAATCTACAACAGTCTTTGGTCAGAGCAAATCTTGCTGGCTATGTCAAGCTAGTAGTCCCATGCAACGCTGATGCATACGAGTCTTCTCTTCCTTCTCAAGGGGCATTCCGACCGGAGCTAACTCAGATTATGACTCAACTTGTGTCCTTCCTCAACTCAAATGGCTCACCTTTTATTGTGAATATCTACCCATTTCTTAGTCTGTATGGGAACTCAGATTTTCCACAAGACTATGCGTTCTTTGAGGGAAGTACCCATCCTGTTACAGATGGGTCAAATGTTTACTACAATGCTTTCGATGGGAATTTGGACACTTTAGTTGCAGCACTCAACAAACTTGGATATGGTCAGATGCCCATAGTTATTGGGGAGGTGGGTTGGCCAACTGACGGAGCTGTTGGTGCAAACCTCAGTGCAGCAAGGGCTTTCAACCAGGGACTCATAAATCATGTCTTGAGTAACAAAGGGACCCCTCTGAGACCAGGTGTCCCTCCCATGGATATTTATCTTTTCAGCCTACTTGATGAAGAAGCAAAGAGTACACTTCCAGGAAACTTTGAAAGACACTGGGGGATTTTCTCATTTGACGGCCAGGCTAAATATGCACTGAACCTTGGATTGGGTAACAGGTTACTGAAGAATGCAAGGAACGTTGAGTATCTCCCGTCAAGGTGGTGTGTGGCAGACCCCTCTAAAGATCTGACAAATGTAGCCAACCACTTGAGAATTGCCTGCGGTGCTGCAGATTGCACAACACTTGATTATGGTGGATCGTGCAATGGGATTGGGGCAAAGGGAAACATCTCCTATGCATTCAACAGTTACTATCAGGTCCAGATGCAAAATGCACAAAGCTGTGATTTCGATGGCCTTGGTATGGTGACGTTCCGAGATCCATCGGTTGGTGATTGCAGGTTTCTTGTTGGAGTGACTGATAGTAAGAATTCATTAGCTTTCAGACCAAGTCATAGGTGGACCACCATTTGGACTTCTATCCTATGGGGGATGTGGTTCTTTCTGAGGTTCTAAGAAGTTTCTTTCTTTGCATGGGTTTTTTCAGTCCCCTGTTCTGAAACTATTAGTATTAGTTGAACATAGACAAAAGAATTGCTAGAGCTATTTAGATATGTCAAAATGATTGCAGGTTATTGTCATACGTGATAGTATATCAAGTAGGAAACAGATTAGACTCATGTTATGTATTGGATATTTATCTAATCTTGAAATTATATTGACCTTATTTTTCTATATATTTTCGATTCTTTCTTGTTCATCTAATGTGCTTGCTCCCTTTTTAATGATGAGGCATCCTGGTCAAGTTTAGTAGAAATTCCTTGGTATTAGGCATTCATAATTACCAAGGTTAATTCTTTAAATACGAAAAGGTAAAATTACAAATGACAGATCCTCTCATTCAGAAAGGTACATAGAAGGAGAGGAGAGAACTTCTGCATGTTGCAGAATGATGCTCCAATCCTCATATTATTTGCAGAATACACTATAATTTATTTGTTTTGCAATGGAAGACAATGTAAGCAAGCACATAGATGCTGCAACAATCACACCTCGTTGTTTTGTTATGCTGCGATGCAACAATTCTCTCCTTTGGGGCTACTGCAGCACATTCGTTCGCAGTGAATGTTCGGTACCTGTCCGACAAATAAGCAGCAGCGGCAACCTTCAAATAATCACAAAACAGCCAAACCTCATTAATTAGTGCAACAAGCTAAGAAGAAGAACAGAATCAACCATGAAAGCATGATAAATTCAGTTTACCTTGGGGATAATACACTTGCTCGGATGCCAGCAGACGAGGGCCTGCTGTTGCATTTGCAGACATGGTAATGGATGCCACCAGCAGGAGGCAAGTCATGAAAGCCAACAACACATTTTCCTTTCTCACCATCTCTGCTTACACTTAAACTATATATCGAAGGAATGTGCAGGATTTTGGAATGAGAAGCCCTGTATAATACATCCTATTTATACTACAAATTTGTTTGTCTGTTAGCAATGGTATGAGCAAGAGGGGTGACTTTTTTGCTTGTGCGACCAAGCCATCCACTAGAGTGATGTCTCATGTCTATCACTGCCTCATGGGCTTTTTTCGTCCTTTATCTTAACAGAATTGGATCGTTCATTAGCTTCTTCATGCAAAAGTAACTATAAGCTGCCATTTCTGACTTTATTTGAACCCTTTGTGAAGGTTTCGAAGACCTGTCTGCTTCCCTACATGCTTTAAGACACCCGTGTTAACAAGTTGGGAGGGCCAATATGTTTTCTCGGCCTCTTGGCTAAGATCAGGTATACTTTGAATACAGCACTAAAACCACACTGAAGCCAGCAAGAGGAGACTTTCTGTGCATTTTCAGTTTATTCCTTTCCCACACATAATTAGAGCAGGTTTATCTATACACAAGTTTTTATGATGAATGGAAAACGATTCTTTGATCAAATCAACTTAGCAGAAAATCTGCTACGAAGTTTGTGCAAAATACAAAGAAAGAAAGACAAGTGATTTTACGACAAGAATTAGTACAAATTCCAATTTCTGCACAGATCATTGCAATTGGAATTTTGAAGACGCTCCTGCAAAATTTTAGTTTTGAATAGTCTCAGTTGAACAGACTTGATAGTATCAATCCACTAACGCATTGGCATGAGCTCCATATTCCCCATGAATCTTCCTGATCCTTTCCTTCCAAATCACATAAATGTAGCAGCACCAAGCCAGCCTAAGCAAGGTTGAGATAAAGCACTTCTGCAGACAAGAAATAGGCCAAGATAGTTCAGATTTCCAGTTCCCAACTTGCTTACTAATGCCACTTTTCTGCATATTAAAAGTAAAGAACAGATGGTCCCTATCCTCAGGAAATTGCTTGCATAGAAGACACGAATCATCGACACTTCTACCCACTTCTACATGAAAAATTTCCATCTGCAGAAGCCTTCCAACTTATACAATCATCAGCATTGTGATTTGGAAAAATAATCCCACAGACTTCACTTTGAATGTCAACCATGACACCTGATCTCGGATGAGGCCAAATTCAACAATCATTTTGAATGTCCATAGACACCCTTGCATGTGAAGGGAGAACTATTCCTTTGAGAATTCCCTGCAATTTACTTGTTTTTTTTTCCCCTAAAATGTTGTTCATTAATTTCAAGTCAATTTTTCTAATCTCACTTGCTATAAATTGGATTGGTAATGGATAAGATTGGAATGGATTTTATATTCGCCCGCGCCTGACCCCATATATCCATAACCAATGAAGAACATTCAGTTGGATTGGATAAGATAAAAGGTTTTTTCAATCTGCCGGCTACCCGACATGATCCAATCATCAAAGTACCACTGCATTTTATTTGATCCAATGCATTTTTGATACCGTCGTGCTGACTCTGCATAACGTACTAAACTACAACCACATCTATGTCAGTTTTTTTACTGTGGATCACAAAAATATATATATATATATTACATTACTTGATATTAGAACTCGTTTAGAAAGGGAGAAGAACTATGAAGAACTTCTGCATCTTTACTGTCCAAATGCATATTCGACAATTTCATCACCAAAAAGTCAGACGCTGAGTTTTTGGTGGTGTCACTGACAGAGATTCTGAGGTGAAATTTTGATGAAACAGCCACCATAAATCATTGTTTGAATGTACATTAAAAATGTAGCAGATTTTCATATTTCCTATATATATATATATATAGGAAACAAAACCCAACGTATATGATTGAGTTTTTCAACCATGAAAGTCTAGCATGAAAATATAAACAATTAAAAAAAAACTAGCAAAATAGAATAAAACAAAATGCTTACTTATTTATTTATTTTTTTCATTCAAATACATGTCTGAATACATATTAGAAACGATGGATTTAGATAAGTCAAAAATATCACATTACTACAGCATTCATTACTGCCAGTTCCGTCCTTTATCGTAGGACGAGCCATTATTGTTATTTATTGCAAGTTTCGTACTTCAAGGTAGATATCGTAAAAAGCTGAATTCTACAATCACTTGAGTTCAAATAACTTTACAGAGAATTGCTATACAAATACAAAAAACTGCAGAAACAACAGGCTTGACAATAGTTTGAACAAACAACAAAACAAAGAATCAAAGCAGAAAAAGCCAAGTGTTGACAACAGTAAATAAAATCAAACAGACCTTTCGGTTTAAGTACATGCTTAAAAGGGCTACCTACTAAATATGTGCAGAAGCCCTCTGATAGCTAAAGAGCAGTTTTATTGAACTCAAGCATTAATCCAACAACGCCTTGTCCTGTCAAGTTTCTGAAGTTGCCGCTCAGTTTACTCATACAGCTTTATCTTTGTGATTATGTAGTTTCGACAAATGGGGCATTGGGTCAAGTCTTTCCCACAATCATAGCATGTCTGCAGAAGATGTTGCAAAATTCAGAATGAGCAAAGTCAGGAAAGAGATGGCAATGTAAATTCCATGTTGTTTTCAGGTCAATACCTGATGTCCACATCCGAATGCAAGATCTTTCTTATTCCACAGACACAAGAGACAGTTCTGCAAAGCAGAATGAAGCAAATAAAACTAAATTAGCAATAGAACTTATATGTTATCTCAGAAGTCTAGAATATGGGATCTACCCTGCTGTCTGAAGAATCAACTGTAGAAGGGACACGAGCATCATTGTTGCTTGACCTGCTATATCCGGGGTAGGAAGTAACCGATCCGTTCCCAAGCGGAGGAGGAAGAACATTCCTTCCAGGAGCACCTCTTTGGCAGCTGCAAGTGATGATAATTAATGAGATTGTAGGCTAGCAGTGATAAGAAAACATGAACAAACTTCAACTACTAAGCTGCATGTTAGAGGACATTTTACCCTAAGAGTTGGAGGTCTATTGTAGCTTTATATTGGGATGGTATTTCCATTAACGCATCCAGAGCAAACTCTGTCTCCTTCTTAGACATGAGAATGTGTTTCGACATAATTTTGGTGAAATTCACAAACTGCATAGAACACACGACACATTAGAAATTGATTCGGCTTCAAAGCTGCTGTCATAGTTCTCCAAGTTAACCTTTCAACCTGAAAATTATCGAAAGCTCGAAAAGGAATGTTGTTGTCGAATTTATGCATCATGTCCCAAGGTCCATCACCAACTCCAACCAGCACAATTGACAACGGATAATCACTTCAAAAGGATTAAAAACTTCAGATTTTGTTGAATATTAACTGCAAGATGTTGACTAGGACATTTTTCAGAATATTACTACCTTGCTTTTACAATGGCATTAATAGTGTTCTTCTCCTGAGGACTCAACTGCCCATTAGCAGTGTCTACACTTCTTGTAACCTGGCATATAATGCAGTCAAGGGCATCGATAAAATGGTTCAGGGCAAGATTTAAACTTTAAGTATAGTATTAGTTACATCTGCAGACTTCTGAGGAGAAGGAACTAACCTGTCCATCAGCAATGATCAGAAGAACATGATACTGCCCACCACTATTGTCCACAATTTCAATGGCAGTTTCAATGATTGGAGCAAAAGATGTTGGTCCTGTCATGGCTCAACACAAGCAATTTTACACCAGAAGTAGGTCAAAGGAAAATTTTACATGATCAATGTAAGAAAAATCATTTAAACTAACCAGCTAAGTTAACATGGGGGACTATTTCTCTGTAACGACTCAGGACTTCCTCAAAGCCATTGCATACTTGATCATCTGGATGGAAGCTAAAAACCTTTTCATCATGAGTAGTGGCTGCAAACGAATTTACAGACTCCAATGTTACAACAGTCCATTCCATGACCCTAAATCATTGCTGAAATAACAAATTGCTGACCATATATGCGATGCCTTTTCGCATCGAAACAAGAAAGATGACTCACCATCACCAAAGCCAAAACAAGGGATGAGGTTATCCTCATCAAAATGTGACAACGTTCTTCCAATTATTGAAATTGCCTGTTCATATGGATTCAGGGAATCCCCAAGGTGATGCAGGCTCTTCCGATGGAAAGACCGAGCACCGGTCCACTCGTTGCTTTTTGTAAAATCAATACCTACAATAAGGTTGGAAGATTCCAGACCAGCTTGTGCAAGAGCTTCCGTCACCTACATAAATCATAACTTTTATTTCCCTTTCTAGTCCTAGAGACAACTACAAGAAATAACCAGATGCGCTCAAAGTTCACCCCAAAAAAGCGATGAGGCAACAATTTTGATAACTAAATTACTTTTAACAGATGAAACTAAACAAGCTGCAAATACAGAAGCATTTTTACCTGTTCAAGAGAATGGTAATCATCACCAATCCTCGAATACCTTGACTGCAGATTGCTTCTTCCATCATCATAATCAGCATACCTTGCTGGATATGGAGAAGAGCTTGGATTAGATGAAGCCCTATAACCATACGAATCATGAAGATGATGACGCTGATGCCTTGATAGTTTGCTTCCCATTTTGGAGTCTCCAACTTTCTGATCCTAATTTCGGTACAAACTGCTCGTCAACCAGTTTCAATTATATTAGCTTTCACGAAAACAAAAGCATCTGCAACTATTTAGCAGCTCAAGCATTTACATAGTTATATCCTACTGAGCAACAACAGACAAAAAAAGAAAAAGTATACGGTATACTTAATCAAAAAGTCAATGCCAAGCAACCAGCTGAATAATCCAACACAGAATTTACATATATCTAAACTAACAAAATATAAATACTGCAAAGCAAGACAGGTTGAAAGTAGTGAAAGGTCAACATGAGTAAACCTAAATGACAAGGCAACAAGGAATGAAGATGAAGCTTCTTGTGATTAAAGATGGAGGAAATTACAACCAAAAAACGTCATCTTTAAGTTGCTAGCTAGGAACCTACCAAGTAAATTATGTGGCTCAGAAAACCCTATTTAAGTTTAGCAGCAAAATACAAGGAAATTTCTTTGAAACCCCACTATTGTTAACTTTGCTAAGTAAACTAGCAATCATGCATGAGATGATGAAATCAAACTTGAAAGTCTTGACTTTTACTATTTGTGTCATATATACCCAAAAGGTCAAAATATATATATATATTAATTACTAATTACCAATCAGATAAAAACTTGAGAATGACACTGAGGTTTGATTGGTGTCGTTTAGCGATACAAAGAATGAAGGAAAAGAAACATAGGCAATAACTAAATTTATTATTATATAACAAGGTCATTTTTCAACCTTCTTCTAAATATATTAAGTTTTCTATTAATCTATTTTTCTATTAAAATTTCCATGCCAAACCATCAGAATTATTCATTATTTATATGATTTGAACATGACTAATTTTTATTTTCAAAACATCCTTACAAGCCAATCAAATAAAAGCTTTCGTGCGTAAATTGTGTGGCTAATTCTAATAGTTTAACTTGAAAATTTTACTAAGATAATAAGCTAAATAGTTAGTTTATATTTAATAATAAAATTATTTCAATTAAAAATATAAAAATAGATCGGATAATTACATCGTTATTATTATTATATAATAAGGTAAATTTTCAACTTTTTTCTAAATATACTAAGTTTTCTATTAATCTATTTTTCTATTAAAATTTCCATGCCAAACCACCGAATTATTCACTATTCACATGAATTTTTATTTCCAAAACATCTTTACGAGCCAATCAAATAAAAGCTTTCATGCGTAAATTGTGTGGCTAATTCTAATAGTTTAGTGTGAAAATTTTACTAAGATAATAAGCTAAATAGTTAGTTTATATTTAATAATAAAATTGTTTCAATTAGAAATATAAAAATAGATCGGAGAATTACACTATTATTATTATTATATAATAAGGTAATTTTTCAACTTTCTTCGAAATATGCTAAGTTTTCTATTAATCTATTTTTCTATTAAAATTTCCATGCCAAACCATCGAATTATTCACTATTCACATGATTTGCACATGATTAATTTTTATTTTCAAAACATCCTTACAAGCCAAGCAAATAAAAGCTTTCGTGCGTAAATTGTGTGGCTAATTCTAATAGTTTAACGTGAAAATTTTACTAAGATAATAAGCTAAATAGTTAGTTTATATTTAATAATAAAATTATTTCAATTAAAAATATAAAAATAGATCGGATAATTACACTGTTATTATTATTATATAATAAGGTAAATTTTCAACTTTTTTCTAAATATACTAAGTTTTCTATTAATCTATTTTTCTATTAAAATTTCCATGCCAAACCACCAGAATTATTCACTATTCACATGAATTTTTATTTCCAAAACATCCTTATAAGCCAAGCAAATAAAAGCTTTCGTGCGTAAATTGTGTAGCTAATTCTAATAGTTTAGCGTGAAAATTTTACTAAGATAATAAACCAAATAATTAGTTTATATTTAATAATAAAATTATTTCAATTAAAAATATAAAAATAGATCGGATAATTACACTATCATATAAGGACGGATGGAACTATTGACCCAAAAAAAAAACATTGATTTTGAACCATATTGTTTTTGCGACAAGAATAGTATCTCTGACTCAGTTAGAAATTCGATTCTCATTTGTAAATCTGAAAAATATTATGTTTTTGACTATGTTGGTGATGGTGTCTGTCTTTTTATTTTTTTATTTTATTTTTTAATATTAAAGTAAATTGGGCGCCAAATACGCAACTGTTTTTTTATTTGGGTAGATGATAAACCAGGTAGGACCTTGATTTCATTGACGACCCTGTATCTCAGACCGACACGTGTATACTAAAAAGGGACAGCTTGATTTCGATGGGTCTTTTCTTTTGGTGTATATCTTTCCACGTGGGAAACTGTGATTGGCCTGTCATGATTTTTTTTAAAACTGATATTGAGTTTCAGTAGTTTCGTAGTGCTGACGCCTCTGACCTTTCGTCATAGTATTATCTTTGTATCTACGTATTTCTACTTATTTATGTGGGGAAAACCTAAAAATACCCCCTAAATATGTGACTAGTATCAATTTTACCCTTAAACAATATTTTCTATTAATTTTCTCTCCAAACAATTTTCATTTGGCTAAACGGTTCAAACCTCCCTTGAAATTTAAGTTATTTAAGACTAGATCCTTAATTTTTAATTGAACCTTTCTCCAATTACTTTTCATTTGAAATTAGATTTTTTTTTTTGTTATGTTTTAATCAATTTTAACATGTAAGTGTAATTATCTCACATGTAATTAAAGAACATTTTTGAAATAAATAAATAAATTTTGGAAGAAAAAGCAAAATATCTACAAATTTTAGTATATTTTTAACTATTAAAAAAATCAAAAAGTTAACTGCGTGCAAATTATGTATCCTGTCACTATTAAAGCTGATGGAAATCATTAGAATTAATGAAAAATATAATAGAAAAATCCAATTTCAAGTGAAAATAATTGGAGGAAAGTCCACTTCGAAATTAAAAGTTAAGGAGATTGATTCTCAAATAACTTAAACGACTTAAAGTTTAGGTGAGTTTAATTTCAACCATTTAGTATTTTGATTTCTCATTTTGATTTATCAACAAGTGCGAGATGATTCTCAAACACATTCTCTACTAATGTGCATAATTCGAATTCTGAACTCGTATTTGTTGAAAAGAATTAACTTTTATCATTTTCGTTACGAAGAGGATTACTCCTATCTTTAATATAGGATAAAAATACTTGGAGTAAAACTTAAAAAAAAAAAAAAATAGAGAGAGAGAGAGAGAGTTAAGTTCCCTGTGACACTCTCTCTTTCACCAATCCTTTTTGTTGATTTATTCAAGAAAATCAATTGAATATTGGTATGGATTAAGGAGAGAGTGGTCACATCCAACCTGACCTCATCGCATCCCTTACATCACTCAAACTGAAGAAACATTCATAACATCTTTTAATTAATAAAAAAAAAATGTTCAGAGAGATAATATTGTATGAAATCGTAATTATTTATAGTAGAACACCAATGAACACAGCCACTAGAAAAATCAAAACCATTAAGCATCCAGTAAGATCATCAATCACTACTCCATCATTGATCTCATCATCAGATTGTGGAACTGGAGTTTGCAGCTCAATAATCTGATCATGTGTTGACCCTGCTGCAGGTGTCTCAGTGCTAGGAACTGGAGTTTGCAGGTCAACAGATGCAGCAACAGCAGCAATCGTCCTCTTCATCTCATCAACAATGGCTGTCAACTCCGAGACTTTCTTCTCCAGAGCAGCATTCTTCTTCTTGATTTTCTCCATGGCCTCTCCTTGTTTCTTCATCAGTGACACATTAGTTAATTAATTAACAATACTGAAAAACAAAACATAACTTACGGACTGATGAAATGAAAGGATATATCAACGACTCACAGCAGATGACGAAGGGCATGACGTTTCTAGCTTCGCAACTCGAAGCTTCAGCTCTTGAAGCTCCTTTTCAACTGCATGGCTAATATTCTGCTGTTGCTCCTTCTTGGGCTGTAGTAAACAAGGAATAAGAGGGATAGGGTTAGGGTTACTAGTAGATTTTGTCGTCTCCTTTACACGATTTACTTCATGAATCTGATGAAGAAGCTCTTGCTGTTGCTCCTCCACTCTCTGCGTGCCATAATCATCCAATCAACAAATATACTAAAACCCATAATATATATTGTCAAAAAGAGAAAATAAATTCATGATTGATTAACCTGTGTAAAGTTTTGCAAAAGAGGCTCCCTTAGAGAGTGATCATGATGATGATGATGATCATGATCATGAGAATAATGAGAAGTAGGAAGCTTTGAATAATTCATAGAACTACTGCCTGTTATGAATAGATTTTAACAATGGAAGTTGAAATCCAACAATTGCCTATTTATGAATGAATGAGGGCGGATTAATTGATGCTAGTAATAGATCCTAAAATAAAAACAATAATAATTTCAGAGTCTACGCATAATTTCCAGTACTTTTCCTGTATGATATATAGTAATAGCAGTGGCTTGATTTTTTGAGAAAATTTATTAATATTTTTCCAAACGCATCATATATATAGTAAATTTTGACAAAGTAATTGTTTGGGAAGTTTCACAACATTTTCTTCGCACCAAAAATAGTTAAATACAAAGTCGCCGCACCCAGAACGCTGATAAGAAAGCGTGTGACAGAGTAAGTTATAAATTAGTCCCTTTATTTTTCAGAAACTTAAATTAGTCCCTCTAGTTTTTTAGAAATGAATTAATTATTTTCTCTTACTTTAAAAGTTAACTATTCAGTATTTTTACTAGTCACTCTCTACATGGTTTTACATAACAGCGGTTATTCAACAAAATTAGACTTATTTACCAGTTACCGTTAAATAACAATGTTATTTGCTAAATAATAGTATGCATTTATGTGTGCGTGTGTATATATCTTCTTTTTTTTAAAAAAAAATTGAATCTATTATACAATTTTTAGATGTATTTTATTATTTTTTACGTAATATTAAACTATTAAAAGTGCTATTAACTTTTTTTTCAATAAATTCAATTATAAATATATAATATTAAACTATTAGAGATGTTATTATAATACTTTATTATTAAAATTATTAAAAATATGTGAATATAAATCAGAATAAATTTTTTAACACCTATAAGTGTATTTACGACTAATAGTTGTCACAACCTGTGATTACGATCGTTTATACAACCATGTCTGCTACTTAAAACTGTTGCTTTGTATATGTATAACAAGATAATATTACTTCAATTAGAACACACCAACGGGCAGTGTAAAATGGAGTTAAGATTACATAATTTCTATGAAGATCAAGCACAGTAATTAATCATTGTCATACTTTGCCGGCACGCCGGCATTGATCACAAGCCTTCTTCTAAGGTGTATCTATGAGAAGCACCTCATTAATCTGACAAAGCAAACATCAGAGATTTGGCTTAAGATAGTACTAATCTGCTAAAGTTTTTGCAGTTTCTGAACACTGAAAAATACAAGTAATAATTAAGAAACACCAGCTTCTTAATTTCTATGAAGATCAAGCACAACAGTAATTAATCATTGTCATACTTTGCTGGCATGCCGGCTTTGATCACAAGCCTTCTTCTAAGGTGTATCTATGAGAAGCACCTCATTAATCTGACAAAGCAAACATCAGAGATTTGGCTTAAGATAGTACTAATCTGCTAAAGTTTTTGCAGTTTCGGAACGCTGAAAAATACAAGTAATAATTAAGAAACACCAGCTTGATGAGTATAAGAAAACACGTTCCACAAGATGCACTCATGCATTTCTACTTGATGATCTATGCAAGATTGGATGAGCGTTTAGGCTTGAACTTGTAAGTACTGCAATCCCCAAGTCGAAAGGGAGCATCAGAACAGTCACCGTGGGCTCTCTTGTTGTCATATCCTGGATAATCTTCTCTGGAGAAGGGCACCATTTCGTGCAAAACCAAGCCTATCTTCTCTGCTTTCTTGACTAAATCCCATTTGTCATAAGGGTCACCTTCCTTGTGTGCTACATGAATCTCCCCTTTCTCCTCCCTCAGCAGAACTTTGGCATTACTTAAATAGCCCTTTATCAGTCTCTTGTTCAACCTGTTTCAGTCCCACGATAATTTCATCAGCCAACGATTCCAGTTTTGATCTATCCAAATGACTAAACAAAGACCTCTATATAAGCACAAAAGCAAACGCAACATTCAGCAAATTTAACACATAATTTCAGTACATATACAGTTCTCCGGATTTCCCATTCGGATTTGATCTTATGCCTGAACGAATCATTTATAAGTATGATCATCTAATCAGGGTTTATCTGTTTTAATATTGTTCTTCAGATAATTTCCTGATCCATTTGTTATGTACTATAACCCAAGGCACTTTGGTAAGAAACAATCAAATGAAACATTTGGTGTCAAATACACCCTTCTTTTACTTCTCGGTCTCAACCTAGTAAGAATGCTCATCGTTGTTAAAGAGAACTTCTGCGCTAAAATAACGAAAGTTTAATATCGCTATTGAGAGCGCAGAAACTTAATGAAAGAAGCAATGCTGAGAGTAGCTGAAACAAGCACAGACGAAGGAACTCGAAAACGAAAGGGAAGATATGAGAAAGAGAACATAACTGGATTTGGCGATAGCTACACTTAAGAAGAGGAAACACTTTATTCAGCAAAATTATTAGGGGTTTCTGTTGTTCTTCGCATTAAGAATTACTCATATGCGGGAACACATCATTTAGAAGACTCTATCTCATTACTACTAAGAATTATAAGACAGGAAATTAGAAATTAACTCAATAAAATAAACAAAAACTAGACGAAAGCAATCATATAATGATATGAAGCAAAGGGAATATAAATAGTGTAAGAGGCTAGAACATAACTGGATTTGGCAGTAGCTATCCTCACGGTAGAGGAAACCAACATGAGGGAAGTTATAGACAATTCGATCAAACCTCTGAGTCCTCAAAAAGAAGTGCTTACTCATCTCTTTGGCATCCACTCCATAGAACACTAACCCTCCTTTCTCTTCTAGTTCCCTCACATTTCCTACTCCATTACTGTACCTTTTGGCTATGTTATCTGTGCCAGCTCAAACAAGCATAAACCTTCAATTAGATCATGCAAAATTCTTACTTTAACCAACAAAACTAAAGAAACCCATCACCAAGCCGAAGCAAAAGAACGAAAAAGAGAGAGAATACCTTGGGTATCAACAGTAGTAGAAACCAAGTTGCGAGCAGAACCAAAAGCTCTGGCTAAAGAAAGAGAGAAGGAGAAGTCACCTTCTCCAACCAATAAAATCCTGTGCTTTGATGAGTAGTGTCTTCTCCATTTCTCTGGCTCCTCTTCTTCTTCTTCATCTGATGATTCTTCTTCTGACTCAGTCTCTTCATATTCTTCTTGTTTTCCCATCTTTCAATCCTGATCACCCACTCATCTTTGCGTTTGCTTTTTTGTTGGCAAAGGTCTTTCTAATTTCAATTCGCCAATTCCAATTAAAAGTGGGCCAATGACTACGAGTCTGCTACTCTCGATTGGTGTACGTATGTGAAGTGAATAAATACACATACTTTACTTTGCTATCACATGGGAAACAAGGACAAGGAACGACTTTCCTTTTGCACTCTTTTTTTCCACTGGTAGATAATTACATACCTTTTTCAAGATCAAAATAACATCATTTCTCATGAAAATACTTGTTATGTATCAAGTTAAATGAATTCCATCAGAAATTTTGACTATTAATTAAAGTTGTTAATTTACTAATTAATGTTTTTGTGAAAGCAGTAGCCACCGAAAGTTTTTTTTTAACAAAAGCATACAGAAAAAGGTAACCCTTTTTCAAGAAATGAACATGAGAGCTAGCCAATTACTTGTGCCAGTTCTTGAGAAAGAACAGCAATCCATTTGGCAACAAGATCGCGCAATCACTCAAAAGGCCAGAGACCGAAGCTGGAACAAGCATTGCCAAGGAACCTTGCTTCTGTACTTTTAGGAAAATGATTTAGCAGTTTAATTTGTTCTATGCCATCAACTACTAGCAAACCATCAGCCCAACAAAAGTGCAAGATTTGTACAGTTAAGAGAGTACATAGATCGTTACTATTCTGAGTAAATTACATTAAATGGACTTAATAGGCAAGATATGTAAAGCTTCTTATCCAGGGAGTATATAATATACAAGCTCCATCCGTCAAAGCATTGCCATCCCCATCTCCATTTCCCTCAGAAAGAGGAATCTGCATTCGGCAAACCTGGCCACCAGCTCTAGCAGCAAAGAGGAGATATCTGACCAAGGATCTCCCCCTCACCTGTTTGGACATTCATACTGGCTGTTTAAACTTAGCTAGCTGGCCTAAAACGTCCTTGAGGGGTTCTCTAAGCGTGCTAGCCTTAGACTGACAAAAAAGAATAAGAAGAAGAAAACAAATCAATGAATTATGAATTAATGTCTTCCACAGTAGTGGATCAAGAAACCGTTGCATCAATTTGTTAGCTTTTCGAAAGAGTTTGAACTTCTTTTCTTAGACGACTGAAAGAAAAAAAACCCAGGATGGTTACTGGAGAAATGCACTCATATCCAAAAACTTCAAAGTGATACCTTCAAAGATGGGACAAGTGCAAAAGCTTCATCAGCAGTTTCAGGAAAGACATTAGCAATCAGACATATCTGCAACGCACTCATAAAGTTGAAATCAAAAGCTGCATTTATTTTTTCCTTCCAAAAGAGCTAGCACAAGCTAAAGATTGATACCTCGCCATCAGAGACACCATATTTTCTCAGAGCCCTGACATTTGAGTTAATGGTTCCACAATAGATTGATCACTGAAACTACTACTATACAATGCATAATCAGCACATTTTCATAAAAAACTACTTCTGAAAGCAATAAAAACAAGGATACTCAAGAACTCGTCTAACAGACTGAGGATTTGTATAACGGGCACCAGTCTTAGCATACTGCAAACCCTTGTCAAATGGCCTGATAACAAACAAAACAATTTCAGTACTTCAAGAACCTTTTACTTGAGAACAGAAGCTTTGTACATGTTACTCACACAGGAAGTTTGATAGTTGGATCTTGAGACAGTAGAACCATCTGGTCCTGGACTCCTTGTAAGATTTGTGCAGCCTCGCAATCCATCATGGGTTTGGCATTCTGCGGGAGTTCTGCATATACAAGCAAAAACAATTATAATTAGCATTATGCTACCCAAAGAAATATAGTAAATATAAAGGAACACTTGTTGAAAGGGGAAATGCAGAACCTGCAATCATTTATAAACGATGCCATGCATAGTAACATTGTAAAACTTGGAAAAGATTAATTCCATAGCTAATTTGGTCAGCCAAAAACCTAAGACTAAGTAAGAAATGATATCTAATATCAAGCACCTTAAAATTTGAAAGTAAATGACAAACTAACAGTGTTATGGCAACTAGTAAGTACTTCCTTTTCTCTTGTATGGACAAACAAGTAAACAAATCCTTGGAGATCTAATGAATGAGATATGTGAAAGCTAGGATAAACACATGCCTGGCTCAATTTTCAGCTCAATTGGAGGTGGTTCTTTTGGCATTGGACTTTTTCCACCATTTGCCATATTGCCTCCCTTTCCCTTGCTCCAATTACCTTGATTGTATAAAGACAATCAACAGAACGAATAAAAGCCCAATGAGAAACAATGCTGCATAGTAAGGTCAGTGCTACAAAATGCCTATGAGTAAAAGAAAAGAGAAGAAAATAATAGAAATTTTAACAGGAGTTCGACCTATAGAAACAGTATCAAACTTTCCACCAGATTTGGTTGAACCAAATAGGGTTTTCAGTTGAACCTAAATATATGAATAGCACCACTAGAATAGAGGAAGGATGCTGATGAAAGTACTACTCATGAATTCTTTTAACAATGCATCTCGAATAGTAAAACACAATTATCAAGAACGAATCCCAGAGATAGAAAAAGTAAGAGCTGAAATCGAAATACATACAAATATGCTAACCTTCAGAGTCAAAATGAATTTTCCTTCCTTTATTTGAATCATCCTTGCCTTTAGTTGATGCTAGCAAAGACAGTCAAACACAAACATGTGTAATTTCAATTATTGTCCGATCCAGAAAAAAGAAAGAGAAAAGAAGCATGCATGTGGGAATTGCAAAATTCAGAAGGCCTTATCACATATATTTCAGTAATTCAAGTTGACATCTTTCTTCCCTGGAGTCACAAAGGCACCCCAAATAGTTCCAATCACTGTTTATTGTAGAAAATTACTTGAACACATATTAGAGAGTGAAAGAAACTAACTGTTAAGGAAACAAAACCCAAGTAACTGCCACACCTAAATAAACAACATACTACAGAACAGCAATCAAAACCCCAAACCACAAGGATTAACCAACACAACAATAATATGTACTCCATAAATTTAGAGTAGAGCATCAAAATTTTTGATAGATTTATCTAATCACACCCAACAAAACATCTCTTCTTTTTTAAATATAAAATAGCACAGATATATGAAAAATGCATGTAATGTAAAAGCATCTTTACAAGACTTAAGAGAAGATTTAGGCTCTTTGGTGGGAAGAGAAAACCCTTTTCCTCCTCCTTTCTCCATTTTCCAGCCTAAAATACTATGCTTTCTGCAACACTCACATATAAGCACAACACAAAAGTAGCAAAGAATCAGCATTTTTACATATAAACAAAACGTAAATAACAAACCCAAGAAATATAAAAGCAAGAAAAAACCCATTTCAGTCCCCAAAACATAGAGAAAACCCCACCTGAGAGTAATGAGAAAAAGATAGAGCAGAGACCAGTTCTCTTCCTTCCCCTCTCTCAGTCTGCCTGTCAGTTGCGCGATTTTGAACACCATTGGTTCTTTTTCTCCCTTCTCCTTTTCTTTTTTGGGCTTTTACTTGGCAGGCCCAATCTTTCATTTGGGCCTGCAGGCGGGAGACAAATTTAGTAATTAAGTGTTTCAGTTTTTATTTTTTGTATTTCAGTGTCTATACTTCCACTATGTTTTCAATTAAGTGTCTCTACTTTTACTTTTTCTGTCTAAGTACTTGTGCTTCCTCTTCTTTTCAATTTAGTGTTTCTACTGGAATTTATTATATTTATATGTATAAAAAATTATCCTTGACCTTCCATTATGTTTTTTAGAAACTCAATTTTTTTTTAAATTTTATCCAACCAAATTCTCACAATTTTTTCAAATTTGACGAGTAAATATAAATTCGGCTTAACGTGAAACTTGTCTCCACTTCAATTTTATACTTTGTATTTTTATAATTATTTTGACTTTATTTTTATATATGGTCTAATAAAGTAGTTACAAATTGACAATAGACACGAACCTAATGGGCAATCTAAGTTGTGAGGATGTAAAAGTAAAAAAGAAGAAAAGAAAGGGCACAATTGAAAAGGTAGGAACACTACGACTACTAAATAGTAAATAGCATAGTAAATAGGAAAAGAAAAGGAGACGGCCTGGTTAATGCTAAAGTTACAGGGCGGTAACGGAAAAGAAGATTCTAGTACGTCAAGTTCAACGGAGGGAAGAAGGATCTAGAACAACGAAAGACCTGCCCTTTTTCTATAAAACCACACCCAACACTACTTCTTTATTCATTGCTTCAATTTCTTCCTTAGTATATCCCAAAACCCTAGATCTCCCTTCTCTCTCTACGTTCCAACAATGGCGGAGGCTGAGACGTTTGCATTCCAGGCTGAGATCAATCAGTTGTTGAGTTTGATCATCAACACTTTCTATAGCAACAAGGAGATCTTCCTTCGTGAACTCATCAGCAATTCCTCTGATGTATGTCTCTTTTTATTTTCTTCTTTGTTATTTTAGATGAATTTTGGTACTTTGTTGTTTTGTTTGATAAACCCTTCTGTTGTTTTCTTTCATTTATATTAAAGATCCAAGCTTTTTTTAGGTTTTTTTGTAGGGTTTATGAATGAATATAGTAATTAGTGTATGTACGTAAATATATTTTTTAGATGAATTTTGGGACTTTGATGTTTTTTGATAAGCTCATGCTTTAGTTACGTGAAAGATCCACAGATGTCTTTTCTCCTTTTATTTGTTCCGTTTTGAAAGATCCTGTTTTCAATCTATGTTCAATTGGGTTGCTCTGATGGTTGGTTTTGTACCAAATTTGTTTCAATGAACGTAAATTGACACAATTTCGTGTAATGTGGTATGATTTGATTGGAATGGTTGAGTCAATGGGTGTGAATGTGCAGTTAGTAGCAATAGCTTATGGTGTTTTTGTGCTTCTGTGTTTTATAGGCTTTGGATAAGATTCGTTTTGATAGCTTGACTGACAAGAGCAAGCTCGATGCCCAACCCGAGCTTTTCATTCACATTATTCCTGACAAGGCCAGCAATACCCTCACCATTATTGATAGTGGTATTGGAATGACCAAGTCTGGTAAGCATCAAATTCTTGTTTTTTAATCGTTAATGTTTGAATATTGTTGCAACTGTTAATTACGATTCTGTTTTTCGTTGGTGTTTTAACTCTACTTTTCTTGTCTTTTTTGTGTCAGACTTGGTGAACAACCTTGGTACTATTGCAAGGTCTGGAACCAAGGAGTTTATGGAAGCTGTAACTGCCGGTGCTGATGTCAGCATGATCGGGCAGTTTGGTGTTGGGTTTTACTCTGCTTACTTGGTTGCTGATAAGGTGATTGTTACCTCCAAACACAATGATGACGAGCAGTATGTGTGGGAGTCTCAGGCTGGTGGTTCATTCACCGTCACCAGGGATACCACCGGCGAGCCTCTTGGCAGAGGCACTAAGATCACCCTCTACCTTAAGGAAGATCAATTGGAGTACCTTGAGGAGCGTCGTCTCAAGGATTTGATTAAGAAACATTCGGAGTTTATTAGCTATCCAATTTCCCTTTGGATTGAGAAGACCACTGAGAAGGAGATTTCTGACGATGAGGATGAAGAAGATAAGAAGGATGAGGAAGACAAAAAGGAAGAGGAAGGCAATGTCGAGGATGTCGACGAGGACAAGGAGGACAAGGAAGAGAAGAAAAAGAAGAAGATCAAGGAGATTTCACATGAATGGTCCTTGGTGAACAAGCAGAAGCCCATCTGGATGAGGAAGCCAGAGGAGATCACTAAAGAGGAGTATGGTGCATTCTACAAGAGCCTTACTAATGACTGGGAAGAGCACCTTGCAGTGAAGCACTTCTCAGTTGAAGGCCAGCTTGAGTTCAAGGCTGTCCTCTTTGTCCCTAAGAGGGCACCATTTGACCTCTTTGACACCAAGAAAAAGCAAAACAACATCAAGCTCTACGTCCGCCGTGTCTTCATCATGGACAACTGTGAGGAGTTGATGCCTGAGTACTTGAGCTTTGTGAAGGGTATAGTGGATTCTGAGGATCTTCCTCTCAATATTTCAAGAGAGATGCTTCAGCAGAACAAGATCCTCAAGGTTATCCGCAAGAACTTGGTCAAGAAGTGCATTGAGCTCTTCTTTGAGATTGCTGAGAACAAGGAAGATTATGACAAATTCTACGAGGCATTCTCCAAGAATTTGAAGCTTGGTATTCACGAGGACTCTCAGAACAAAACCAAGATTGCTGAGTTACTTCGCTACCACTCAACTAAGAGCGGTGATGAGTTGACCAGCCTGAAGGACTACGTGACGAGGATGAAGGAGGGCCAGAGCGACATCTATTACATTACAGGAGAGAGCAAGAAGGCTGTTGAGAACTCCCCATTCCTTGAGAAGCTGAAGAAGAAGGGGTACGAGGTTCTGTACATGGTTGATGCAATTGATGAATATGCCGTGGGACAATTGAAGGATTTCGAGGGAAAGAAATTGGTGTCTGCAACTAAGGAAGGTCTTAAGATTGACGAGACCGAAGACGAGAAGAAGAAGAAAGACGAGCTGAAGGAGAAGTTCGAGGGTCTGTGCAAGGTGATCAAGGATGTGCTTGGTGACAAGGTGGAGAAGGTCGTGGTGTCCGATCGCGTGGTCGACTCTCCCTGCTGCTTGGTCACCGGAGAGTATGGTTGGAGTGCAAACATGGAAAGAATCATGAAGGCACAAGCACTGAGGGATAACAGCATGGCTGGGTATATGTCAAGCAAGAAGACGATGGAGATCAATCCGGAGAACCCAATCATGGAGGAGCTGAGGAAGAGGGCTGATGCCGACAGTAACGACAAATCAGTGAAGGACCTAGTCCTCTTGCTCTTCGAGACTGCTCTCCTTACTTCTGGGTTCAGCTTGGATGATCCCAACACCTTCGGCAGCCGCATCCACAGAATGCTTAAATTGGGGTTGAGCATTGATGAAGACAGTGCCGAAGCCGACACTGACATGCCTCCTTTGGAAGATGCTGCAGACGATGCCGAGGGTAGCAAGATGGAGGAGGTCGACTAAACTAGCAGCAGCCAGCAGGAGTGTAACAACGTCGTCTCCTTGAGGGGTCTTCCTCCCATCCTTCAATTAATCTAATCTTTTGTCTTTACCATTATGGATTTTGGTTTTTTTTTTTTTTTTTTAAGATTTATTATGGATTTATCTTTCGTTTTTAAGACGGTTTCTTCTTCAATTAAAATTAGCTAAATATATGCAATTTCATCCCCAGTACCTTTTTCCTTTTCTCTAGTTTTAAGTTTTTTCTGATCCTGTCCATGTTTGACAGTGGTGTCTAAGCCTCAAGGTTAAACCGTGATTTTCTCTCTGTTTTCGTAATTTTCTGTGTAAATGCCCGCCCTTCTTTTTCCACATTTTTAAGGACATATGAATTCTTTCAATTTCCTCCTCTCAAAGAATCTTCAATCAAAACAAGAATTTCAAAGGGGACGACTTGAAGATTTGCAACGGAGAGGGTACTTTTGTGTTGTAAGAAAGTGGAGGAACTTTTCTGAATTTCTTGATGCCTCCGAAGAACTTCAGTGAGATAACCATGCTGTTTAAACAAACCAGTCCTTATGGTACCTTGAACGTAATTGGGAGAAATTTTAGAGATGAAAGAAACCAGTCCCTCAAACTGTGTGGAGGTTCAAGGCAAAGTGACAGAATTTTAGAGAGCAGAAATTAAATTGAGGCCAAAAATCTCAAAATACTTATCGCTCAATTGCAGCCATGAAATTTACCCCCGTACAGATGAAAGAAGCAAACAACCGCAGCCTATCTGTTCCAGGTAGAATCTAATCTATGCAAAATGGAAAGAAAGAATGCTCTAAAGTCATTGCAAACCTAAAACAACCCATTGCACACAAAACCGCACATTTCTTTTACAGCTTGCTGACATCTACGACTCAGGTATCATCAACTTGTGAGTGAAATACAAAACTTGGGAATGTAGTGGTGATGTCCCTGTTCAAGAAACACAATAGATGTCAGTTTCAGACAGCTTTGTGAGAGAAAAAACTCTCTTTTTATGATGTACTACTATTCAGTATTCATGAACGAATGACTAACTTGAGATATTGGAGAGTCATATTCTTCAAAAGAGAAGGATGTCGCAAAACAAGGCTTCGCCACTCTTCTTTGTCAATCTTCCCATCATGCTTAGTATCAGCTTCCTCAAATGTCTAACATAAACAAGAACAGTAATATAATAACACTCATGTTTTACCTTCTTTTGTAACTCTTTTATATGCGCTGTGCAGTAAAGACACAGTCAAGATAAAAGTTCGACTAGATTAAGGAAACACCTTGTCAATAATGCTCTCTATTACATCATCTGACAGATTCATGCCAGATTCAGCGAGTGTTGCCACAACCATTTGCTTTACCTGTACACCAAATTTTGATGATCATGATATTTTCGACAATGCATTTCAAATGTATGCAAGATTTACTGTCCAAGGAATTAAGGGTAAAAACAATTACCTCCTGTCTCTCGATAAATCCTTGCTGTTTGAGATCATAAAGTTGGAATGAAACTGCAAGCAAGTAAAAACAGGGCAAATCAAGAAACAACAACATGCAAGAATTAAGGGTATTCCCATGGAATCACAAACAAATGAAGGACTTAGATTATGAATTAAATCGAACTGAACAAATGGACAATATTCAAAAATCAAATAAACTCACCAGCAATGGCACTACCAATATCTTCTCCCTCAACAAAATAAAAGAAAGAAAGAACGCAAAGAAAAACGAAGATGTGGACGGAGGCATACATCAAGTATCGATTACAAATTATGTATCCCTTTCACTCTACTTGATCCATTTTCCATGTATTAGAAACACTTACATTCAATCTTATCATCAATTGGTGCATTGGGGTGAAAGACAGAGAGAGCGCGTGCAAAAGCCTCAAAATCTAATATTCCATTGTGCTTTGTGTCAAATAAGTCAAATACCTACAAAATTTGGGACTTACAATATTAATATGCAAACATCATCGATGGCATTTCATAATGAAAGTCTGCAACTATTATAGGAAAAACATGAAGAAATGTAAGATGATAAAACAAGAAAAAGGGCAATAAAAGGGATATAAAAAGTGAAACAACAGACTCCAGAGATAAAATGAACAGAATACCCGATCTGCGAATAAACTCTCCTTTTTATTTGTCTTGAATAATGCTAATTGAAATTCTTCCTGTAATCAATATATAGGGAACTTTCAATTAAACGCCGTTAAAGATCAAGCAACACATTAAGAAATAAGAAAAAGGAAAACTCTTTGAAAGGTTAACCTTAACAATGGAAAATCATTTCCAGAGGTGCAAGAAGTGAATAGCCCAATTAGAGCAATGGCCATATGCCACAATTTCTGTTACCTTATTGATCAGCCCATCATCAATCACTGCACTGCTGATCTTCTTAAACAGTTCATACAACGCTTCTATTTCACTCACACTAACTGCATTTGGAAAGAACAAGCATCTTATGATTGGGAAACCTTTCCTTTCAAAGGCCAGTCTTTTGCAATTAATCTAGAAATCCTAAACCTAACTGAAATAATAAAATTCATATAAAGTTGATGCATGAGAACATGCAAGAAGTGATTCTAAAACTATCAATTGTCATAGGAAAACAAAAGGCTAATAACTATACTATAGTGATTCCTGAAACCAGAACTGAAAATTTAATAAAATGATGTAACATACACACTGTTTCCCTTGCAAGAATTTCTGGATCTTCCAGCCCTCTGGGTTGTTTATACAAATCTGCATCACAACAGTTTGCTACAGCAGCACACAAATGCTTTACTCCGTCTAGGCACTGCACCATGATCTTTTCCAGACGTCAAAACACTCCATACCTGGAGCAAAGAGCACTCTAGCTGAAAAGGCTGTTGATTCAGCAAGCAATCATGAAAATGAAAGAGAATACTCTTAACAGGGATGCGGGTTTAAGTTCTACTCTACTGCCATGGAAAAGGACATATAGACTGTATAGTCAAATAACTTGTTAATATTTTTTTAATATTGGAAATGCATCTACACTTATGTCTAGAGAATGAGTGCAAGACAGGATATGAAAATACTCTGAAGTTTACTCTGAGGATAAACAGCCAGTATCTCTTGACGTTATAGGCTCTCCACACTGAAGAGCCTATAACGTCAAAAAGCATCAAACATTTATTCACCCCTGATAAAAATTCATGTAGAAAATTCGAAGACATTCTAAAAGGTGGGAGATAGATTTATTATAGACTACATAAAAGCTAAAACTTGCTCCTATCAGTTCAATCTTTTAAGGGTACCTCAATCCTTGGAAATCAACCCTTTGCTCCTGCTTTTGCTTTGGAGGGTAAGAATTCAAGCTTGGAATGAACTTATTCATAAATACTCAGAGATGAGAGCAAAATTCATCACCAACATCAATATTGAAAAACCCAGAACAAAATATTCATGATACTCTAAACAATATATTCAAATGCCATAAATGTCTTTTAAGAGAAAAGTTCAGATCTATTGCCTGGAGAAAAGACAAGTTGACAGTACAGTATGGTTAAATCTTGGAAACTCTATCTACACCTATCTCTAGAAAAAATAAGGCAGACAGCAAATGAAAATACTCAAATGTTTAAAATCTTGGGAAATTGCATCACGTATACTCTTGCCTAACAAGAAACACTATCAGAGGCTAAACAGCCAACGTCTAGAGCATACACCATGCTTACTACCACCAGCCTGCAAAGCCTTTAACCTAAAGGAGCTAATATCAATATTCACCCCTATGGAATACAAAATAGCTAACATTTGCTCCTACTACTTTAACCTTCAAGGTTGCCTTAATAATCCTTTGAAATCAATCCTTCCCTCCCACTTTTCGTTTCGGCAGGTGAGATTTCAAGCTCGGAATGAAATTGTTCGTAAACAATCAGATTTCACAGCAAAATCTAATACCAACGTCAATATTCACTTAATATCAATCAAAAGATGTAGTTACAGGCCTAACTAAGCATACCAACCAAACAGAGGCCAAGGCTACAGCAACAAGCAACAATTCATCGATTACATTACATATAACCGATCCAAAAACCTAAACTTTCTGATCCGATAACTCCAATGCCATCATAAAAGCCGAAACTTGAGGCACAACCCACACACAACAAACAATTAAATTAATAACCCACGATAGATCACGCGAAACCCAGAAAAAAGATTAGGACTTTTAATAAGAAATCAAATCACTATCCAAAATTAAAAAACATAAACAACCAAGGCTTCATATGAGAGAAAACATGGAACTGTAGAAATGGATAATACCGAAAAAGTATTTACCTTTTAGAAAAACAAAAGAGGGGAGAGAAGGATAAGTAAGAAAGGTGAAGAGAAGTCAAGATTCTTAGACATCTCTCTCACTTTTTTTTCTTTTTTTCGTGAAGTCTATTTATTATAACTATAACTACATGTAGAAAACTAGAGAGGAAGGTGCCGTTTGTTTTTGGTAAGCAAAGAGAGAGAGTGATTGTGCTTTATTAATTTAATTTAATTTAATAAATCAAACCCAATAGACAAAACAAAACATTGAACACCCAAAATTAAGGGAAGGAAATGGCTTGGGTTTTGGTTTAGGACGGTGCAGGCATGGCCAGCCGAAGATGGAAGCCAAACCAAACCTACGATTTCTGACAAAACACACACACACACATGACACGTGGCCGTACGAGGTTGTTGGCTCTCTTTATTCGGCGGTGGTTGAGACCACGTGGTAATGCTGGTCTTGCAAATTTGATGCTTTTAGACCAAGACAAAATGCAAGTACTTGCATTTTTAGCAGACTGGTCATAATTTTTGTTGACAAAAAAATCAATTGAAGGTTGGAAGACACGAGCACCATCCAACAGCCATGTTCATGTCTGCAATAAATGTTGGTCTTTTGACTTATGGGTAATGTGAACTAACAGGCAGATGTAAAACGCATTTATGATCGTACAGTCTGATCATACTTGTTAAAACGTTTGTGGGTTTGTAGTAAAGGTGTTTTGAATGGACGACAGCATTTTGAAGCCAATCCAACAACTTTGTTCATGATATCTTATCATCTTTGCTGTTCTAATTCTAATACAAGTTGTAAGAAAGAAATTTTTAATAAATATACTGATTTGGATGTAAATGATACTAGATACTTGTTTGAGTTCAGCTAGAGATCAGATACAATAAGTGAAATTATTTGAAAAAAGAAAATCATTATAATTTCATAGTTTTCCCTACCCTATAAATTTGTTAAGATACATTGAAATCAAAGACAAAAAACATATTTACCTAATTTTATAATTTTTTAATCAAATTTTTGTAATTAATTAATTCGTTTTATGTTTTTTAAAATATTGATAGCATACATTTAATTAATCATATATATATATATGCACTCTTTTTATTTAGACAACCAATGTGATATTTATAATAAAAAAAAATCACATGCAAACAATAATGAAAGAGGTCATTGAATTATAGAGTAGATTATAAATTACCTCCTCTCGTTTTAAGAAAAGAATTAATTAATCCTTTTGGTTTCAAAAAGTAATTAATTAATCCTTTTAACTATAGCTATTTTTTTAAATATCTTTTTTTCTCATCAATATTTTTATATTTTTACTTATTTTTATTCCTTTTCCTTTTTTAAATCAAAATAAATTTAAAAATGATAAAAAGGATTAAAATATTATTTTTAAAATTAAAGGGACTAATTAATTCTTTTTCCAATGCAAAAGGGACTAATTTATAATTTATCCTTGAATAGCAAGTTGCGCAAGTTGTGGAGGAAAAGAAAAAGCAATGAAAGATAGGAATGTTCCGTCTTAAGAGAAAAGGAAACGAAGTAAATTTTAGATTTAGATTGGCTATTAAGTAAACTTTCAGTCAATAAGAAAAAAGTCTCTAATCTCTTTTTTATTCTGATTTAGATTCCAAATCTCTTTTTGGTGTGTAATTAAGTCCTTTTGTCATGTTGATCAATTTTAAGTAATATTGGACACGCACGAATATCAACATATATTTTGAAATAAATACTTACAAACACGTAAACTATTAAAATAACAAAATTTGATAGGATAATTAATGTAATTCTATATAGTAAATTAGCATATACTTTTTATTTCAAGTTATTGATCAATTGCACCCGAAATTTATACAACCATAACCCTAAAAATAAATCATTTACTTTCACACACACATATATAATTCTTGATTAATTAGTTGGAAATAAATTAAATTTACAATTTTTACTGTACAATTTCTATTCGGCTAAAAAGTCTAACTATCCTTAAAATTTAAATTTTTATTAGTTTTGGATATTTCTGAACTTAATTTTAATTTTTCTTAAAATTTAACCTATCTTTCAATTTTTTGTCATTTATCTAAAAAAAAATAACAATCACATAAATAGTTTCATGATGGAAATCATTTAGTGAGATTTATGTAGAGCTTTTCAAAAAATTTGGGATCATTTTATGATTATTTTCTATTTTTCCTAATTTTTTATATTTTTAATGTTCAAATATATATATATATATCAATTTTGAAAAATTCTAGAATTTTTCTACAAAATGGATTGAATGTTTTCCAACATGCATGTAAAATTTCAACTCAAAATACCAAGAACTAATTTTTTTTAAGGAGAAGATAATAATTGAAAATCATTTAGTAGATTAAATCTTAAAAAATTAAAAATTTAGAGATCGTCAAAATTAATAAAAAAAATTCAAGAACTCAATCTCAAATGACTTAAAGTTCAGGATTAGTTAGAATTTCTATTTTTTATATCCTTCCAGTTTATCCAGCACCTTGCAGTTCTGTTGTCTTTGGCATGTAGTTAATTGTTTTCTTCGTAATTCTAGTATGGAATATTTGTGTTTTGCACTGGCCTGCAAGTTTCATATTTTTGTGCCTTGATTTCCATCCTGCTATTGGCTATCTTTATAGTTATCCTTACAGTTTTAATGATTTTAGTTCATCAGCTAACTCATGAATATGGTGAAATTACATGTTGATGTCCATATCTTCTTCAATCAATTTTTTATTTTATTTTATTTTTTTCAACTAGGTTACAAAGATCAGACAGAACCACATCCAGCTAGATATAGCTATGATAATTTGATTGATCAGTTTTAATTTGATATTGCAAATTAATTACAGTACAAATAGTAAACTGAAAAGCTGCATGCATGGAGCTTTCAACTCTGCATAACAAATTACTAACACTTTTTTTTTTTTTTTTTACAGAAAGAACAAAGTTCATACAAGAAAAGAAAAATGGACTGGAATGGTCTAAATTTATCTATCTGTCTCTAATTTTATCACGGCTATTGTCTGATCCACTTTTGTTTTTTATTATCTTCTTGGCATTCATCTTGCTTCCAGAGCTTCCTCCTTCTCTAGCTTCCTTCTCCTCCATTTCCTCTATTTCTGATTCCGGAGGTATCTTTTTATCTGGTCTCTTCATTTTTTGATGATCTCTTGAGCCACTTTCGGATGGTGCTGGAGTTTTCCCTAGTCCCTCCGATCGGATGGTCTGTTCATGCAGGCCTAGTTGTAGCTTACTTAGCTCGTCCCTCACTATCGATGTTGCCATTCTATGATCATTTGCCCTTGAGCCTCTCTCTTGTTCAAAGAATAGGACTTGCACAACTGTTCTCAATGGCAGGCGTTCATTCTTTACGGCATGAGTACGTACTTCCGGTGACAGTTTTTGGCAGTCTAGGTTCCTGCAAAGGCGCTTCTTGTCTTCCTTGCTCAGGCCAGGATGCTCCTGTTATGATAAACGAATGAAATTGATGAATGCTTTGAAGATAAAAAAAAACATTGAATAGCGTTGGGCCATGGAAATTTTTGAATTCCTGAAGAGGTATTGAGTTTTATATTTTGGTAACATGTATTGCTGATTATAGTTTTTTACCTTGAGATAAATGTTGATTGCCTTGTAAAGGTCATCATGATCTTTCCTGGCAATATCCGGCAAAGCTTCTGCGACAGATACAAACTTTGATACCGGCAAGTTGGTATCTCTTGCAACCGCTTGAAGGTAAGAGTCGATAAGCTTTCCAGTCTTTCTAATTGATTTTATAGAATGGGGGTTCTCTGTAGGTGCAGGTGATGTTCTTCTCCATAGCAGCAAGAAACTGTCTAGCACTGCTGCAACCAAGTCAATATCATAAGAATGCTGATTGGATGGTGAATGTGAAGGAAATAGCAGGTCACTAACTGTTGCCTCCTCTAATTGCTGGCTTGATTTCCTTATAAGTTCTGTCTTTGTAACTGTAGATGCACCTATGAAGTTTGCAATGCTAAGAAGTTTTAGCAAGAAACCAACTGAAACTGACCCTTTATCTGATGGAATCATATTCACAATGACTTCGAGAATTTTCCGATGTTTATCGATAACATTGTCCGCCTGAGACAATGAGCTCTCTGAAGGTGTAATCTTTGAAGTGTCTGGCAGCCAACGGCAGGCATAAACATGTAAAGCTTCACCAATAAGCTGTGGTGGTAGCATATATGTTGATTTGATAGCTATAATTACGCATCGGAAAAGGTCTATGTCAAGATCAGATATGTCTTCTGTCCACCAATCCTTTGGAACAGATTGCTGCTGCTTGTTGAACCCTACTCTAGTGTAAGTGTAGGACCATGTGACCTGCAAAGAAAGATGATTTTCCTGAAGATATTCAGTAATCTAATTATATATATATATATTTTTTTTCAATTTCATGAAAAAGTGAAATTGCTTCTGTAAGGTATTTGTTAACCTTTGCAGGGGGGTGAGTATTTTTTCAACAATTGAATCAATGCATTTTCTGATGATTCCAAGGTTCTCTGACCACTCAGTTAACTTGACGGTCGTCTGTAGCGCGACGATGGAGTCCTTCCAACCTTCTAGAATGCAGGAATTGAAGAAGGCCTCAAGTTTAAGGACAAAATTTCCCTTCTCGATAGCTTCCGTCATTCGAAGGAACTTTGCGGCACAAAATGCAGATACGAAGTTATGAGCACTGAGATTGATTGTTATTCCATAACAATATTTAGCGCACAGCTCAAAAGCCTCTTCCCCTCCAGGAATATCATGCAGCTCTATGGTAACAATACCTGAACCATCAGGATCTGTACACAGCCTTTGTAAGAGGCCACACTTCGGTAATAGTGAAAACTGCAGCTAAGAACAGTAACACTAATAAGAATCTAAGTCATCTTCGATGAATCTAAGGTTCAGAAAGTCGATTAAATATTGAAATTGTATTTTACATGCCATAGAAACAGCAAACTTATATGCTTCTCCCATTTCTTGATTCTTGATGCTGTATGAATTATTTGCAATGTTACAACATATTGTGAATGTCTAGCATGCAAGATAGCATCAGCGAAGAGGCGTCTCCGACAAAATTTTCATTTATTTCCTTGGCTAAATCATACCTGATGAAGAAGATAACTGATGTTATCGATTCGTATAACAAGGTCATTAGGTATATCTGATATCACAGACCTGCAATGCAAAATTACTAACATGACTGAATACAGCTGATATATGATCTATGCAGCTTTCGCCGATATAGAATCCAGTGATAAATCAGTATACCTGGTAGCCTCTTCTGTATAGAAGGTATCCGGCCGCGTCCCAAGTTTCATAAACTTCATTTTCGCAATTTTCTTTTCCTTCAATCAAAAGATAGTGAGAGATTTTAACTTCAGAACAATGGAGCATGCCCTTACAATATCTTACCTGAAACAAATCCAGGATGTGTTTAAGTACAAACAAGTTGACAGATTTATTTTCGGTGACAAAATTTTAAAGCTCTGCTACCACAAATTAAAAGTTTGTTGAGAAATGTTAATTTGTCTATGGAATTTTTTTTTCCTAAAGAATTTTACATATCAAACATATTAAGCAATGCAATCTGCTGTATTCATTGTATTCTTGAATTAGTTCCAGCAGAAATGTTAATTCATAAACTCTTTAACTCCTTTTTCCTCCAGAACAGATTCTAAATGAAACGTATTAAAAGGAAGGGCATAATACACAGAAGAAGGCCAGAAAAAAAGTCTCTGGGGAAAAAAAAAAAACAAAAATTCTTGATACATCTTTTTTCTTTCAAAAAAATGATTACTTTTCTGTTGCTGTCTGGAATTAAAATTGGGAAAATCAAACCTGAGAAAATGTTGGGAAAATGTCAAAATTAAAGAAAAAAGAGAGGGGAAAAAAAAAAAACTACCAACTTTCAAAAAAGTTAAAGTGAATTGGTAAAAAAAAGAAAGAAAAGGGATCGGAAATTGCAAAACATGATTGAATCAGACATGCAAATAGTCACTAATTAAGAGAAAAAAATTAGAGAGTTTTTCAGACATGCTCACAAAGATTGCCAAGAGAAAAGGGCAGTAACTTAGCAAATTCATCAGCTCATGAGGAAACATTTAATTTTGAAAAAAAATTTCAACACCATGTAGTGGCTTCACAGATATGGCTAATGGCCGTATCAAAAAGATAGGGAAGAAAAAGAAAAGAAACTGAAATGGTGGAAGGAGGAGGGATCATGATTCTTGAAAGACATTTCAACCCACAACCCACAAAACTGTAGAACTTTAGCATGCAAAAGTGTTAAAAACACAGAATTGATCACTTTTAAAATGTAATTGGCATGTAGGCCTCACCTAACCTAACCTTTTTAATCCAACAAGGGCCCCATCATCTTCAACATTTTCCTGTGTAGAACCCTACAAGACAAGCCCTTTAACAACAGAAGATTTGTATTTTTTACCTGCAAGAAAACAGATGAAAGAAGAACACAGTCATTCAAAATTTCTCTGCTGTCAGGCACTCAGAGAGAAGAGGATGGTGCTAGAAGAAGAGTCTTAACAGGAAACAGTAGCAGTTTCTTTGACCACCCTAAATCATGCAAAATTGTCTCTGGTATATATCTTTGTCAATTCCCTTAAAAGATAATTTGGTAGTTGAAGATTATTAAATGCTTATTTTGCAAAGCAAGAAGTCTCACTGGTTTACAAGTTTAGACATGGGATTTTGTACTTGTTGTGCTACAATTCTGACAGATATACCTCATAAGAGCCTGAAAATACACCACCTGATATTCCGGCTTTGAATGATCTCTGATTTGGCAGAATCCAAAACCCCTTTAGCCAGTAAACGTATGGCGCTCTGCCTCAGCAATTACCTCACCAACCACACCATAATCCCACGCAGATATGGTAACCTTATACAGTATAAAACAAGCTGACTATGTACATATAGATACACATATGTGAATGTATATGTATGAAGGTGAGTTCTCTCTTATAGTGACAGATGTTTTCATGTAGTCTCGAAGCATGAAAGTTGGTCTGATGACACCTTGGTCGAGTAAATTTTATAACTGCAATGTTGTAAACTTGTAATCATGTGACAAATGGAAGATCCAGAAAATTGACGGCAAAACACTAAAGTTTCAACCCAGAAATTAAATATTCCATGTCAAAAGGAGATGCTTTATAATTTTAGCTGACAAAATCACCAAGGATCGAGGCAAGCAATAATATTCCAACTCATAATTCATGCTTGGAATAAGAAAGGCTGAGCAAATACCTACCATAACTAAGTTGATGCTTGGTGGTTCCCAATTAGATGGCCTTAGCATATCTTCAAACTTGTTTAGGAAATGAAAAAACAAAAGTGATTCTTGACCCTTTTATGGTTTGAAATCAAATCAAAGCATGTAGTCCATACATAATGGAGCTGTTTGTCTAGCCATTTCAAGGGTTCTTGCCTTTTCTTTTCTTCAGGAAGTATGGACAGAGGTAAAAGTATTGGTCCATTGGTTCTTTACTCTTTGATGCTAAAGGCCAATAAAAAAAAAAAAAGAGCTTATTCTTGGTTAAAAACAGGTTGATTGTCGGCTAGTATACAGATTTTTCAATTTAACCAAATTGAATGGGAATTAAACTTGTGAATCTGTTGAAAACTTGGAAATAAATGAGAGGTTTCTTTGTCTTGGTTTCTTTACAGCCGATCTTTTTTGGTCAAGGGTAATAACATAGAACATTAAATCTCACACCAATCCTGTTCTTGCAGCAGATGACCACTCAATTGCTCTAGGACATATCTCAATAAAGCAAGAAGAGGATGGCTGTGGGACTCAAATGATCAACAGCTCAGGGAATAACAATTGTTGGCAAGAGAATAAACAGGTTTACTTAGCTTAATTGGCAAACCAAACTTGCAATTAAGAAGGAAAATGACAAGGACGACAGATAGGAAGTAAATGCTGCCATGTATAATTTGGTGGCATGAAGTCAGAAAGACAGACAGATGCTCCATGCAATCAAATCGCTTTTAAACCACATCTTATTCGAAACATGGATGACATCTAAGAAGAAAGAGACATGAAGTTCCATCATAGTTAATGAATTAAAAGTAACTGTGGTCACTATGACTTGAAGATTTGATTAGCTGCTACAGAATCTAAGTTGATATGCTAGCTTTTGATCATCTTTCCTATTAATTCTGCAGTAGCCCAAGTATCCAAGTGTCCCTCAGGAAATTGAAGAATTATTCCTAACAAATGCTAAAGAGATGGAAAGTGGACCATTTTTTTTTCCTTCTGATTTCCTCCATAGAAATGATATCACAGGATCTGGTTAACAGTCACAGTTTGAAAAATAAAAACATGATCTCCCTATCCCTCATCTAGAAATCAGAAAAAAAACTATACCTCTAGGTATTGGTGGTCCAGATAGAATGTGATGTTGGTCCAGTTGCCTTTAAAGATTGCTCGAAATCTAACCTAGTGGTCTGTCAGGCAACACATGCATGGTGGTTAAAGAGAAACACAGCGGTAATGTAGCACAACACCAAGTACTTGAACCGAAAGTCCTGTAAGAACTTTTCTCTTCTAAGCACCATATAATAACATCAAAAACAACAAAAAAAGAAAAAAAAAAGAGTAAAAGTGAAATGCTTAATTGGCATCCAGAATTCTTGCCTTCCACTACGATACTCCATTTACCTACTTGCGTTAACAATCCCTTTCCAAATCAATAAAGGAACCTGTGCATAAGGTCCCAGAAGGATTTTATAATTCTCTCCTTGTCCATATTCTATTGGAATTATTTTATTAAAAGCATACAGTAAAGTTTCTTTTTCCATATATTTTTTTAATCCTCTAGGTAACCAAAGTATGGCAGAATCTCTAACATCTCCATACAACAGAACAAAAAAGCACCTTGATCTAACTTTTGTGCTTTGGCCATTGAGTGGGAGACAATAATAACGAGTCAAGCAGATTTCTATCAATCAAATCACCCCAGTTTTTTCCCATTTCACCAACTTAATCATCTACCACTGTATATCATCATCAACGAGAGTACTGGACCAAAGCAAAAACGTAACACCCAAGAAGAAGGGAGCTAGCTAGCATATAGTATAATATGTATCCAGAAGAGTGAACATACCGCAAGTTTTTGTTTGATTTCAAGCAATCAGCAACAGCAGAAGAAGCCGGAACAAACAGCAAAGGCAGCAGCAGCTCACTGTTCGAACTTGGAGTACTGATATATATTTGATCAAATCAGCAGAGACAGAAGCAGTACTATATATGGGAACTTAAATCAGGAGCCCATCAGTGTACATGAACATGAGGAGCTAGCAAGCATGTGTGACATTCAAGAAATGACTAAAAGGTTTCGTGCATGTAATCCTGGTGCTTAAAGAGGAGAGAAGAGGAGGGTTTGGTAATGTGGGTTTCGTTAACTCAACTAGCAAGACAAGAAACTGAGTCTCTTTCGTTCCCTGTCGGTCTCACCTCACCGAGACTAGTGGAGGATAGCGAGAGGGAGTGAGTAGTGAGTGGTTGGTTGGGATTAGTCAAAATGGTAATGTATGAAAAGCATATTATGATAGAAGATTTGGACCAGAAAAAGGCAAAATGAGGGAGCAAACAGGAAACAGCAGTCACCTTATCGTTCTCGTCTCTTCTCTTTATTAATTACTATGCTGGAAATTTGGTGCTCTATGATTGACTGATATATCTCACAAAAAGCATGCAAAATCCAAGTGCCTAATGCTTATAGCGACCAAAAGAGTGCTTTTCTTGTTCCTTTTTTAAAAATTTAACCTAACGTGTCAATGTTTGGTTTAAAATATTTTTTTAAAACAAAAACCTTAATTAAAACGATTGTTTCATGTTCATTAGCTTTATTTGAAATACTATTCATCTAAACTCATTATTATTATTTTTTTCATCTTATTTATTGGTGTTATCATAAATACTGTTCATCCTGACTCGTTAGTACTATTCTTTTCACCTTATTTATTGGCGTTATCTCAAAATACTATTCATCCGAACTCGTTAGTATTATTATTTTCACCATTCAGTATTATTTTTATAATTTTCAAACTTTTTAAAGTTATTTATTATCAAAGTTTTTATAACATTATACATTGTCCATTTTTTTAAAATATTATTTTTTTAGTTCGTAAATTTTTTTATTTAATTTTGGTCTCTCTTTTTATTTTATTTTGGTCACTTTGATCTTTTTTTTTCTTTGATTTTTTTAATTAAAAATTTTAAGATAAAAAAATTTAGAAAAAAACAAATTTACAGAATAAGTTTTTAGGTAATAATCCATTGATTTTGACATTTTTTTCT